CGTGAAATATCCTCAATTGTAGACGGATCATGGATTAGAGTCCCCTTGCCGTCAGGCTAACCGTGAGAGGTTCTCGTGGTCTTCCTCTCCATGTAACGCAAATGCGGGTTAGCTCCATCAAAAAGTCCTCCGCGAAGGCAAATTTCTCCCAATACTCGATCCAGGAGTTCCCTTGTCTTCTGGATTTTGTTCAAAATTACAAGGCTACAGAGTTGAACATTAGTAGACGCAAACCCGTAAAAGTTGAGTCGGTTGTTCAACGACGGTTATAAAATAAATTAAATATTGAAAAATTCAATATACTTATTTTGGCCTCTATTAGATTAAGGGTAATGGGTTTAACCTTTTTCAGATTAAGAGACGAAATTTATATTTAAATTCATAGATTATAGAAAACTTTAATGTTCTGTAACTAATAAATTTTGAATCTTAATAACGGTTAATCATATTAAAATCCAAAATAGTTTAATAATAGGTAGTAGTTATCTAGTAATAATTCGTTATGAAGTAGTTAACATCTTGCCTCCTCACTCCTTTGAATGAAATTCATTTTATTGTTATTTTAGTTTTCATTCTTTTCATATCTTCGAAACGTATCTACACATTTAGTCTATTTATTTAGCGTTTTTAAAGTATATCCAGCTGTCATAAGCTAAAGGTGATTTGTTAGGAGAATACTGATTGTCGTTGGAACTTAAGGATCTGTACATTAACTTAAATGTTACTTTTTTTACCGCTTAATCGAAATTAATAGCGAAAATAAAAAAATTCCGTGGACAATAATAAAATGCGTCCATCTACGAAAATTACATGAAGGAAATAATTGTTCATTATATATAATATTTGTGGAAAAATATTTTTAAATATTACATCTCAATAATAGCGAATAAAACCCAATAACACAAAATAAAGGCATCCAGAACACGAGCTAAGAGCTCAGTGCTGGATGACAATAAATATTTCAATTGTTTTCTAACCGCTACAAGCAAAATTTATTAGCAAAATGAATTTATCATAATTTCAAATTTCGTCCTATTTCCAACTGGCTAGAATGCTCAAATTTCAAGTGCAGAGTTCGCTGTTGTCAATACAAGTTACAATTATAATTACCAAATAAAAGGGTAATTATCATTTTCTTACAATATTAAACAATAAAATAATTTTTACCGCTGTTTCAGAAAATTTTTGAAAAGCGTGCTTTTTGTTACTATCGCGTAAAAACTATCAGCTGAAACAAAATAAAATTTTGCTCACATCTAAAAAAATGTTTGAAGAGCATTCTGATATCAAAATGCTGTTGATCAAAATAATAGTTTTTCTTTTCTTTTTTTTTTCGCGTGCGCGTTTAGTTTTGCGAAAAATATTATCTGGAAAATTATGATTTATGAACTACAGCGACATCACATAAGTTTGGAAATGTGGCTCTGTTTCAATTTCGCGATCTGGAGTAATATACCTGCAAGTAACGTATAGTTTGTCTAGGGTAAGAACTCCCCCCGCCACAAAGTCTCAGGCCGTCTGCTGCTATGGAAACAAGAATAGCGCATTTCAAGAAGGGTAGCTTCTCTTCACTCTAAGGCTAACACAGTAGACCGAAGAAAAAAATTCACTTTCTCTCACCGACTCCATAACCTGTCCTAAACAATGACCCCACACCCCTACTCGCAATAGTTATAGCTCGTTACTAGAGTCACTACCACGGGTGCAGACGAATGGCCATGGAAGTTCTTACTTTAGACAAACTATAGTGTGTCTATCTCGATCCTGATTGGTTGTTGAAATGTGGCGTTTGTTTACGTCAACAACTGCTCTTTCCATTCTATTTCGAATTAGTCAAGCCGGTCAACTATCAAATGTCTTAACTGACACATTCTATATTCTTTCACAAATATTTCGATTCTTTCAGTATATATTTCTTACTTAACACATTGAAAGGCACGAAGCTGCGTAGAACATAAACAACCTAATTCTACATTGAAGTTGCCAGGTACACAAAACAAAAGTACGTCACGGTTACAATAAAATACATAAACAAATATTAAATCTAAGTTAAGTAAAAGACGTAAACGAGAAAGGATTATATTTTTACGAATTCTATGAGCGATTCGGTACTGTATTCAATTAATTTCACGTTATTTAGCATTCTAGATTATGTGGAGAAACTTAGTACAACTTACACATGTCGTTTTGATTACAAACGATCAGCTGTCACTGCATGGGTCACATATGTGAGTATCTGTGATCGTTTTCTTCTTGAAGGGTAGACATATCTGCTCTTCGAACTATGTTTAGGAAGTGTTATACATGCATGTGACAGAATTGTATTTGAATCATCAATAAGAATAAATCCAAAGCTGTCTCCAAAAGCAAACTATTGTAGTTCTATGCAAGGTTAACAACCGAACTAAATGAAACTATGCATATGCATTTGAATTTTTTTAAAGCACTAAAGAAATTTATGATTCTTTATATGGAAAACAATTTTTTAATTATTTATTTAGAAATTAATGGATATTGTTGCTTCTTCCGAAACTTTAAAACAAATGATTGTGAGCGAAGCAGTAACAGAAGAAGGGAGGGCGAAGAGGCCAAGGGGGAAGCCTCCTACATCTTTTAGTTCCGCAACTAACTGATCGTTAAGACACGGTTCCCAGTAGAACACCTCAGTCAAGCATCACTGGCTTCGGTCAGTGTGCAGGTGGGTGACAACTATGATCAGCCTGCAAAGTGACCGAGGGTGTGCAGTATCTGTTAAACTGTTATCCTTGAAGTGATCGACTTCGCTCTCAGGCTGTTGAGCTACCGAAACAGGGAAGAGAAAAAAATCCATTCAAAATTGTGACGGCATGTCTTCGGATCATCTTCAGGGATGTTTCACCAATATCCCATTGAGCAGCTCTAGTTTGACGTAAACTAACAACAACCTACATCTTTTAACCCTTTCTGGTGTAATGTAGCCAGTCTGACTACAGTAAACAAACAAATGGTGCAAACCACTTTAAATGAGCCTCAGTGACTTAGGAGATAGGCGACTCAGGTTTGAATCACAGCGGTAACCGGTTGATCCGAAGTCTGCACGCAGTTTGCATTGCTCCCAGTGCTGACGTAAAATATCCTCTGAGGTAGATGGATCATGGGTTAGAGTCCTCTTACCATCAAGCTAACCGTGAGTGGTTTTCATGGTTTTCCCCTCTATGTAACGCAAATGCGGGTTAGTTCAATCAAAAAAGCCCTACAGGATGGCTAATTTGCCCCAATGCTTGATCCAGGAGTGTCCTTGTCTTCTGGGTTTGGTTAAAAATTACAGGGGTGTGCAATTAAACACTGCTAATCGTAAACTCTGAATTAGGTCAGCTGGTTATAATATAAAATAAAAAAAATACTAGAATTGCTTTCAAACGCTTAACAACCACTACTTTTTAAGCAACAAAGAGCTAAAATATGACGCTTCACTTAAAATATAGTGTCTAAAGTTGCACTTGCAAACCTTAATCAAATTTGATGTTCCAGAAAAGGTCACAGAATGAGAATGCTACCGAATTTTCAAGTCCGACGTAATAATAACTTCTAAAAAAAAATACATAATACAAAATGATTATAAGAATATGCATTGAATTTTTGTTAAATTGATTTTGGAATAAATCTGAACGAGAATTTTTAATGTACAAATCTTTTTAATTCGCAATTTGTATAGAAAATAATTAGTGCTTAGTTCTATCAAATTCTTTTGTGAAAATCTGTTTAGTTAGTGTTCTACAGTCACTTAGATCTAAAAAATAAATAGTCATTACTTTCACAAGAATTCTTTTATAGCTGAACAAAGTAACTGAATAAATATTAATAAAACGGTATCCAATTACAGCTTAAAAGGCAGATCATAATATTGTTTGTTCAAAGCTGATATCTTTCAGGGATAATATCAGAAAATGTTATAAAATTTGAAGTTAGCGATAAGCTGCGATTTCAATGTATATTTATATTCGATGAAATATGTAAGAAGTTGTGGCGAAAAAACATAAAAAATATTTATTGTATAAATATACATAAATCATTATTTAATATTGTCATAAAACGACTAAAATTAAAGACATAAGTAAAATGACTAATTTTACACTAACCATCTAATTACTAATTCAATAATTAGTGTACAATTTTATTATTTATTTATTTGGTTTATCAGCGTCTTAGTCTTTTAGTGATTTGACATTGATAAAACTTATTCTTTCTAAATTTAAATTTTAAATCAGTGTTATGAAGAACGCAGGAGGCCGTATTCAATCCATTCTATGAGGTGACTGCAATAAACTGCAACCTCACAATTTTGGCAGGGTTCACGGCATGATAAACGTTCTTTTTGTAAATATGTGATGAAATCCATACCATTTAAGGGTTTGTACATACAAATGAGAATTTAATTACGATTTTCGTTTCTGAAATAATATAAAGTTCAAGTTGTTCCTGAAAACAGTCCCAGATTTTCTTTTGGCTCCAATGTTGGCTTCAAATTTAAAAGTTTATGGCGTCAAGCCTAGATTATCCCAGAAATATAGTGATTTCTTATCTATGAGTTGACCCAGGTATGAATACAATTCATAACAGTTTGCTTTGATTCGTTTTTTTTTCTTCCCCCAGCTCGCACCTACTACATTGCTGACTAAAAATATCTCCAGTACTCGAGGGTTTACAGGCTAGATTTGCAGATGCAGATTAGTTTCTTCAAAATGAATTTATTTCTGACCTTAACATACATAAGAGTTCTCCTGTCTTCTGGGTCGATTAAAAATCAAAGTAAATTAAGCACTTTGTTCGTATAAGTCCAACCAATAACTCAAAAGCTTTTTTTCCAATGATGATTCACTTATTTATTTCTGTTTTCACTCACAATGAATAATTTATGAACTTATTCGTCATTTATGGATGACCCCTAAATATAACTTTTTCAAAAAAATAGAAAGCTAAAAGCAAATTTTGCTTTGCGCACGAACTCAATCTTACTAATAGCTTCTACCATCATTCCATCAATCTGAACTTGATTTTAGTTGTCAGTCGCGCTTGTGATGAAATTACACTCAGTATGTTTTAATGGAAAATATTGGTGACGTTTAGTTAACTCTGCTTTCTTTGTTACAAACATATGGCAGCTATGGGATTAGGAATCAAGCCATTTTGTTATCTTTTAATAATAATAGTTTTAATAACACTTTCATCTTCTTCAACATTGTATAGTGCAGAAGATCCGCTATGGGAATTAAATTCTTCTAATTTTGAAAGTTTAGTGTATGGAAAAGACCATGCATGGATTATACAATTTTATAACAGCTGGTGTGGTCATTGTATTCGCTTTTCTTTCTTTTGGAAATTGTTTGCTAAGGATACAAAAAGTAAGTATTAAATATAATTCAATTTAGCATTTTTAAATAGGATATTGATAGCACGTATATCTACATTAAAGTAAATTTTTCTGCATTTGGTTTGTTTCAGGAGCTCTATCGAGATTATTATGTTTGTATACGTTTTAATAAATATTTATTTCTATCTCTGAGTTATCTATATAAGACTAGCATCACTTACGTTGTGTTACATTTGTAAATAATTTTACATCCAACACCAAATTTTTTAAAATTTCGTTAAAATAATCTGAGTATATCTTCGTATTTTCATCTGTTATGTCTACTACATTAACCGAAGTGTTAAATAGATTTTAAATTTGTTATTAAAAAAAAAAAAAAAAAAAAACATGTTGACATTGGCTGATTACATTTAAACGTGATCAGCCAATGTCTATATGTTATTATGTATATTTTCATGTAAAGAGCTTTATTAATTATGCTCTTTACATGAAAATTTGCCTAATTTTTTAAAGGGGAAGTATGAAATACATTTTTAGGTTCATTTCATAATTGTTAAATTAAATGCTATTTTCATTGTAATGAGTATCATTTTTTACTTGTATTCATAATTATTAATTACAATTATTATTTTTTATTCTTTTTAGTAGATTTGACTTTTCATTCTTTAAAACTTTATTTGCCAAATCATTGAAAATATATCAAAATTGTAGAAAACTTTTTTTTCGTCCCATGAAATGTCTATTTTGCACTAACACAAATATTTTTTTAATATTCAATATTTTCTATTTTTGAAAATATTTTTAAGTTGGGACTTAGCGCTTTTTTAAAAATTTAATTAAAGTTAAAAATTTTATTACTTATTTTTATAACTAGTTGAAAATGTTAATGAATCCATAAAAAAATATAAAAGGCTTACTTACAAAACTGATCAACATTGAAAGCTGAGGTTTAAGAGATGAAAGGGATTGGAGAGATTTGACGATGGTTGTCCTCAAACAAAATAACTATGCAGTTCTATAGGTGATGTTTAACCTCAAATAATAATGTGATGTCGACTAATAATGATAAACAACAACTAAATAGTTTTATATCTGATTTTCAACCTCAAATAACCATGTATTGTCAATATTGTCAACTAATAATCATGAACAACAATTAAATAGTTTTATAGCTGATGTTCAACCTGAAATAGTCATGTGTTGTCTAATAATAATGATAAACAACTAAATAGTTCTATAGCTGATGTTCAGCCTCAAATAGTCATGTGTTGTCAAATAATAATTCAAAATGGAAAGTTATATTATATGAACTAACAAGTTTCAATGAGATATTTTGTTCCATTTTAATGCTACAAGGAAAGTGGGACTTAAAAGTAACATTGGCACGTAAAGGTTTAAGAAATTTTTTTAAAAAATATTGTCAAGCAACTCTCATATTAATAAATTTCCTATATTTTGTAAAATTGTGGGAGTGAAAAAAAAGGTTATAATAAATGATTAATTTTGTCAATGCAAAAATACACGTATTTTCTTGTAGTTTTAATTAATATTTATTTGAGGGATAGTGAAAAATGACAATTTATGTATTTCATTTTGACAAGTTATCTTTGTAAACTAGGGTTTTATAAAGTTGTTAAAAATTGTGATAGTTATTCTATTCCTTCAAAAATAATAGTTAAACACTCCTGTAACTGCCAGGTATTAGTAAAGGAGGTCACAGATGAAAAGGCTCTTCAATGGTCATAATATACAGTGATCAATGGCATGATGGGGTAATGTACCCATATTGCTTACTGACAGTCTTTGCATGTTAGACAAACTAAATAGGTATACCCATTAATCTGAAGTTGAGTGAGCTTCGAACTACCATCGGGGATGGAACCTTGTTCTTTCTCAGTGACAGCACGATTCCTTTACCACTGTATAGTTGATTCTTATCTTGGTCTATATTCTGCAACAAACTTCTGCAGAATTTTACAATTTAGTAAAATTTTTCATTGATAAAAGCAAAGGCCTTATTTGCCAGACCATAAACCTCAAACTATTAAATTATTATGACAGCCAAAAACATTAGAAGCCAAGAACATTAGTTTGCAAAATGCTCTAGCAGAATGCCATGAAATTTTCACATTAAAAAATCGTTAAAAAACGAGCAGAAAAATAGTGAAATATATGAAAGTTCTTGAAAACCACTTTCTGTTCTTATATTGGACCTAATAAATGGTTCTGGATAAAATGGGAGCAAAGTTTGATACTTTAAAAACTTCAAGATTTTTATATATTTATTAATCATATCATTCTGAATTTTATTGATTCTCACATGTGATAGTGTCTATTTCTATTAACGAAGTTTATGAAATTGTTGATACAGTACAGAACCCATTATCCGGAAATCAGAAAACCGGAAAACCAAAAAACCGGAACGAAATTCAATAAATTTTCCCGCCATTTTTAAAAAAAAAAATGTTTTTTTCCTCATAAGATTTCAAGATTTTTCTTTCTTTTTTGAAAGATGTTTACCTTACCATCATTTTGGAAACAATCATTAGTGTATTACTTCATCGTTTTTTCTTCTTTTTAAGATTATTTCCAAATATTTTCTTTTTCTTAGTTGAGTTTAACAATAAAAAAAACTGCTTTTTGTAGAGATTCAGAAAACCGGAAAAATCAGTTATCCGGAATAGCGATGGTCCCGATCGTTCCGGATAATCGGTTCCCTACTGTATATTAAAAATAACAAATGGTGATTATATTCTAATTTCAAAATCTTATAAAAATGGTTACTTTTTGTGTGATTTGGAAAATGGGAAAAAATGTACCTAATGCAACAGAATGTATAAAACAGCATTTTCTTCTTTCCTTAAAATTGAATTTATTTATTTATTTTTTTTTGTCAGAAATCTAGAAAGTTGTCAAGATTTCCCAGTTATTATTTTAATATGTCAAATTAAATTGTTCAAAGTTATTCTGTTACTCTTTTAGCTGCTGACTAAAAAGTGTAAAATTTTTAAGTATTCATATGACTGTTCATTAGGACTGTTTCATAAGGTATGTTATTTTATGTGTTAGGCAGCCATGTTATGAATAACCCCAAACATAATGAATAGAATTTTTGGTTTTAATAAATCTGTAAAAAAAAAAAAGAAAAAAAAAATCACAGAGGCTCAGAAGTTTAAGTTACTTTAGTTAGAATAAATAAATACTTCTCTTTAAATTTTTTTGATTTTTTTAACATCTTTTAAACTCTGTATGAATTTTTCTATAAACATATTAAGTGTTCATTTCAGTTTTTCACCATTTTGAAAAATAATTTTAAAAAAAGTATCCATTGATAAATTCTTATGTTTCAATTGTTTCTTTGTCTTCATAGTGTGGCGAAAAGTCATTGATGTTGGTGTAATTAACTGCAATGATGAGGAAAACCTGAAGCTGTGTCGTCAATATGATGTAAAAGGATTTCCTACAATAAGAGTGAGTTTCTGTATTTTTATTCCTATGTTTCAGATTGATTTCAATTGTGTAGAAGGTAGTTACTTTGATTTTATTACTTATACATAACCTGTAGTAAAAACATTTACATTTTAATGCAGGTCTTTATTTGAATAGATTGGGTCAATGTAGAAATAAACCACATTATCAAGTTGTTTGAGTGTATTTTTAAGACCACTCATGGTGAACAATTTTCATGAAGGCAATAAAATACTTCTATGCTATGATGTTATTATCTGGAGGAAAATATTTAAATTTATAAGGCACTTATTTGAAAGTAGTACTAAGGAACAATTAGATGTAAAAATTTCACAATTGAAAAAAGTGTAACTTATCATTTCAAGCCTTTTAATATTTAAAATGGACTGTAGATTTGAAATAGGCTGAAAAAATGTTATTTTTTATTATTTCTTTTGTGCTATAATTGTTGCAAAAATTTATTTTGGAAATAGCTAAATAAGATATAGCAAAACATTTTTTTGTTAATGACATGATAGTTTTTGTCCTAGGAGCAAAATTATATGTAATTTTCTGCAATGAGATATGGTTTTTATCAAAATATACAAACAACACTCACAATTTAAATTATTAACAGTTTTGTTAAAATTATCAATAACTTTTTTAAGCTAAAATTGCAAACGAAGCAGTGTTAATTATTTAAATATTAAATTATGTATAAATGGGCAAATAAGACAAATTTATTGACAAGATAAACAAAATTTTGCTTTGCATGGGGTGCAATGAATTTAAAGGACATAAAGAAAAGCAGTTCGGCCCCAATTTTAAATTATTTTGTAAAAAATTAACATTTTTAAACACTTTTAGCTTTAGAGGTTTTTATTTTTGATTGTTAAAAAATTATGAAAAGTGTTAGTGCTTTGAAAAGTCTCCTGCTTTTTATATATATAAATTTCTTTGGTAAATATTTCATTTTTTGAAATTTTTTGACATGTTTTTAAAATCAAATTTTTAAATATGAGACATTGATTTTTAGTTCTTTTGGCGAAACGTTGGTGAGAAAGATATGGGAATTGACCTGGAAGGGCATAGAAGAGATATTCCTTACATTGAAAATTCTACCCTCCATTTCATAGAATCAAACTGGGATAAAGGTGTTCCTTCTGATTGGCCAGATTTGTCTCCTCTAAAGTAAGTAGCTGTTGTTTGGCTGTACTTCTTATAATGCTGGCTGTACTCCTCATGAGACACTTCAAATATCTTTACCTATAAAAATATGAGTTGGCTTGTATTATTCAATATGAGGAGCTTTGGGATAAGTGGAAAAAAAATTGTTTCACATTAATTTGTAAGAAGATTTTATAGGTTTTTCAATGTGTTTCAGAGCTTCAAATGTGTTCAATTTGTTTTTTGAAAATAAAAATGGTAAAAAAAGAAAAAAAAAAGTTTTTTTTTCTTCTTTTCCCTACTCACAGGTTTGATAGTATCAAGTTGGGTAAATTGGGAATAAAATCAGTTTTTTTTAAAAGAAAGCTCTAAAACCAATTCATTAAATTTATTTTACTGAAAGTTTTTTTGCATTTTGTTTACATAGAATTTATATGGATTAAATATGAAACATAACTTATCTATTTTGTTTGATTGTTTTCTCACAGTAATATATTTAAAAGAACATGTTTTGATATAGTACCTTCTTTACCTCCAGATTGTGGTAAAGTGGGTGAAGTTCCAAAATTTGTTCATAGTTTATCAGAAAACATTTGTAAATATTGTTTCAGAAATAAAAATGCTCTTGATTAGATGTATCGGGATTACATTTAAAAAACAAATGCTAAAAAAAACTTTTCTTTTCGTATTATTAAATTAAAGAGTTAATTTTCATGGCTATCATAAGTTAGGTTTAACTTCAGATGAAGTATGATTTGCTGAACTCTATACAATTTCATCAAAAAGCAAGAAAACTGTAATAGTTTTTAGTTTATTTGAAATATTAGTGAGAGTGTTAAAATTAATTTCTATAGTGGTAGATTAAAGTGTTTTTACTATTTAAAACATGTGTATTTTTATTCAATTTAGTTATTTTAAGGAAATTATTTTGTTTTTTTTTATGAAAAAACTGCCATAACAAAAAGCAGGCACTTGTGTGAAAACTCATCTAAATCTTAAAATATGCTCACTAAGTTTTATCATTATGCTGTTTTGCTATTTTTTTTCCATTGTGTAGTATGTTTGTTATATTACCTATTCTCTTACTATACATACTAAATAAACTTATACTAATAATAAACTTATATAATGCTTATACTAATGCAAATTTTTAAGAAATAATTAATAGCACAACATCTATAGTGATATATACTATTATAATTTAACACTATTATAATATATACTATTATAATTTAATACTATTATAATATGTACTATTATAATTTAATATTATTATAATTTTGTAAAATATGTATATTTATATGTACTTTTATTTTCTAACTATTTTGAAAAATATTTAATTGCAAAACTTTCCCTTCTGTTTTTTCCCTTAAAATTAATTATTAACTGAAACTCGAAAATTTTATTTTTGTAAGGCAGAATATTTGCAATACATTCTGCTTGAGCTCAGGAGATAGAGCTTTCACCTCGCAGTGAGGTGAACTGGGTTCAATGGCTGCTTGATACGGATTCTGCACCCATCTTGCACTGACCACAATACTGACAAAAATTACTTCAGTGGTAGATGGATCATGGGTTAGAATCCTCTTGCAGTGGGAGGTTTTTGTGGTTTTCCTCTCCAGGTAACGTAAATGTGGGTTAGTTCCATCAAAAAGTCCTCCATAAAGGCAAATTTCTCCTATTACTTGATCCAGGAGTTCCCTTGTTTTCTGGACTAAGTTCAAAATTGCAAGGCTATGGAGTTGAACATTGGTAGTCGTAAACTTAAAAAATTGGATCAACTGTTCAACAACAGTTATAAAAATACATTCTCCATACTGGTAACTTAACTGTTAACTAAATGTTAGCGAGATGTCTATATTTTTGTGATTTATTTTATTGGAACTTACCTTTTTTTTAAATGGTTGTTTTTTTTCTTCTTCAGGTTGACAAGTTTAAATGAAATTGAAAAATCAAGTAATATGAAAGTTGAAGGCACATATCTATTTGTGGAAGATGAGGAATCCATTGTTGGTCGTTTAGTAAGTATAACTTCTAAAAATATATTAGTAAAAACTAAAGTATTTAATATTGAATTTTTGTGTGGATCAGTTTTGTGTGTGTACAATATTTACAAACTTTCTGTTGTAAATTATTTTAAGAAAAGTTTTTCTCTTTATTATTTATTTATATAAGTTTATTTTTTTGTTTGTTTGGTATAACTATATATTCCTTGGTATAAATAACTATACATGTTTTAGAAAATGCTTTATAATTATTGCTTGTTTAAATTACTAAATAACTTACTACTGCTGTGTTACTAAATAACTTACTAAAAACACTATTATGTCATAGAAAATTGGTTTTAAAATTGTTTAGGCTGATAAATGTTTATTTCTTTAAATTATACCACCTTGTTAACAAATGGAAAAAAACGTGAAAAAATGTTTAAAGGTACTAAATAAATTTTTCAAAATTAATTTGTTATCAGTATTAACTTACCAGGAGGATGAAATAATTCTAATTGTCCACTTTTAGATAAGAAGTTGGTACTTGTGATGTACCACTGGAAAGCATACTTTAAAATAATCATTAAAAATATCATTTACAAAGAATTGGGAAGAATATTTTATTTTTTACAATGAATTGGATTTTTAAATTGATAAAACTTTCTCCATATGTTGTAGAAATTAGATAAGGGAAATTTGCTGAAAATTTAGTATGAAGTACTTCATGTCATTCTGATCACACATTTTATGTTATTATTTATCAAAATATCAGAAAGATATGTTATTATTTTTCAAGATAGCAGAATTTCAGAATAAATAAAAATCAATTTTAATTTTTGAAAGAAAATTTAAAAACTAAACATTTTAGTTATCCAATTACCATATTTTGAAGAAAAAGTAAAGATTAAAGTCCAATAGAAATTCTCTTAATTGCTGCATTGTAATAAAAACGCCTATAAAAATATAAGTTTTTTGAAAAAGAAAAAGCAAGATAAAAACCGAAACAAAAAATCACTTGTAATTTTTAAACGAAAGATTTAAAGATAAAAATCTTAATCTAACTTTTTCATATTGCCGTATTTTTAGAAAGAAGTGACCCGAAATGAATAATGTTTATTAGAAACGCTTTCCCATAACAAATCAATACCTTTGGGGGTACTGGATTGGAGATCGATCGTTCACTGAGTCAGGTCAAAATTACGATCTGTGGATGAATGAATGGATGTGTGAATGGGTTTGCCTTGTAAACAGGTGTGATGTATGGTGTGGCAGAAGTCGAATTCTTGGCCATAGATGGCGCCACTGAAAAACAAGAATCGCACACTCTGCCTTAAATTTGCTCGGTTTCACCAAGTAGGCTTGCCCGTGTGGCAAGTGGCATTAGAACCAACCAACCAAAAGAAACGCTTTTTAAAAAATGCTGTCATATTAAAAATGCTGACCAAAAATAAAGTTAATAAGAAAATCAAAAAAGAAACAGAAAGGAGAATTGTTCTTAGTTCTTTATCATTGAGAATTAGTATTCTATGTTACTAGTTATCTGTCTTTCCATACAAGAAAAAAGAGACAATAAAAAAATAAAGTTTTTGTTAATATGCTTTGCTGTAGTTGAAACAGAAAGATAAACAAAAATGGAGCAAAAAAAAAAAAATTCTAAATTTTTAAGCATAAAGTGTTGAAAAAAATGATGAAATTGACTTGCCTGAATATAATTGAAAATAGAGGAAAAAAATCAACATTCAAAATTTATAGTTCAGTATAAAGTAGTTTTAATTCTTCAAATTTCACTTTTCCATGTGTCTTTCAGAACATAAGTTAACAAGTTTTGGAACTTAACAAACATTAAACTATTTCTCATAATGTATGGTGAAAAATATAATATTGGCTTATTCTTTATTAAATCTATGAAATTCCCCTCCCCCCCCAAATTTTTTTATCAAAAAATTATTTTCCAAATAATACTTTGCTTAATGTTCATCGAACCAAATATTCAGCAAAGGGGGCGAATACCAAATAGTAGCCGAATATTTGTCAGTCCCTATTTAGAAGTTTACTCCTTTGTTTTAAATGTCACCCTTCAAGAATTAATTGAAGGGTGGAATTGTCCCGCAGTGGACTGATCGTTAAGACCTTCCCAGCAGATCACCGGAGTCAAGCATCACTGACTGCGGTCAGTGTGCGGGTGGGTGATCACTTGGATCAGTCTGTGTATGGACCGAGGGTGTGCGGTATTGGTCCTCGTTAAACTGTTCTACCGTAAAGTGCTCGACTTCGCGTGCAGATCGTCGGGCTACCGAAGAGGGAGTGCCGTCCCCTCTGCAGAGGATCAAAATTGTGATGGCATGTCTTCGGATCATCCTCAGGGATGTTTCCCAGACCGTCACCAATAGCCCATTGTGCAGCTCTAGTGCGACGTAAATGAACAAATCAATCAATGAAGGGTGGAATTAATATCTGTAACATATTTTTGGATTATACTGGATGAATTAATCTTATTTTATGCATGTAAATTAGTTTGAGTAACAAGTCTCTGACTTGTAAAACTAAATGCAAATAAAAACCTAATAATATAGTCGAATTTTTAGCTTTTTGGTGATGTCTCTCAAGTACAGGGTGGCTATGAGTAAAGTTACCATACTTAGACTCACATTTTGGTTGACAGATGCCAATGGAACTTGTTACACAGGTTATATGGATCATGGAAAAAAGAAATCTGCAATTAAAAAAAAAACTGTGTAAATTTCAACAACCTGTTTTTTTTGTTTTTAAAGACGCATAGAAAACAAAACACAATTCGGAGATGCAAAGCTCCATGGAATCAAAACATAATCGCAATGTGCATTCTTTTTCTTTTTATCAAGCATATATTCAAAACTCGTTGTGGCATGTTCTATAGTAACACATAGGGTTTCTGTATCCATTTCTGCTGCGTAACATTGATGCTCTTGTCATGCAATATACAGGTTACTGTGATTATGATGAAACAATTCTACCAGAAACGCTTTTCCTTTCTTCTGCTATAGCATGGTTGAGAAAAATTTTTTATGGCTGTATGTTCAAAAACTGCACCAAATTGCATATCTCTTACATATAAAGCATCATTTATTGAAATTGACCTATTGTAGAGTTTCCCATGGTTCATATCATATGAAGTATATATACCAAGTTTCTTTAACACCCCTCAACCATAACAGATTCTATATACTGGTTTAAGCAGGGTATCTTCAATTATAATCACCCTATATTATGTTTTAATATGAATTTCCTTAACAGGCAAGGGTTACATTAATTTCAGCCTCACTGAGTTTTTTCATTTTCAAAGAATTTCAATTGAATTGCATTTCTCATAATATCAGTCTGTTTCTTGTAAAATTATTTACATCAATGTTAATATAATTTCTATTAAGTTGACCATTCATAGAGCAACAATTTTGTGATTTACTTTGACAGGTAATCGCTTCTAAAGTTACAATCTGGTTTATTTTTCTATTGTTAAAAATGCTTATAAAGTCGAACTTGGATAGACAATTACCTTACAAATTGTTTCAATTTTATTTTTATCCCTTATTCTTACAAATTTAAATTCTATTTCTTGTAGCTAACTATGGATTTTTCCTTTCAAACTGAAGTGATAATAAGAAGAGTTTTGACTAATAATACTGAGTTACTAAATGATTTGGGTCCCAACCTTTACAATGGTTCTGTTCCTGTAATATATAAAATTAATCCATCTGGAAAAGCAGAAGTTTTTATGAGGTACAGTTTATTATTTTTTTTAAGAATTGTTTTTAATCTTGTTATTAAGAATTACAATTAAGAAAAGTTAACTTAAAAATAAGCTCTTAGATTGTTATTCTTCTTCAGGTATTTAGAACTGTTTTATTTTACTGTTTATTTCTAAACTTTTTTTTCTTTGGGCATTTTTACCATTGGATAAAAGATAATTTTAGTTATTTTGTTTAATGAAAATAAAGAAAAGCGTGTTTTATTTTTTTATAATGTAAGGTATAATTAAAATAGATAAATGGAAGAAAGAACCTATAAATGTAAGTAATTGCATTGAATCTTTTTATTTACTTTTCATCATAAAAAATTGAAAGCTTATTAGTTAAATTATGTTTAATTAACTTAGTTTAATTACATTAAATTAATTTTTAAAAATTAATTAAAATGGTTCTGAAACCTGAAAACTAATAATTTTTTTTTTTTTTTTTTTTTATTTTATTTACTTTTTTTTTAATAATCATACATTTGCCCTTATGGTAATTTAGATTTTGTCTTTAGAAGTATCAATGGTATATTTCAAACTTTTCCTTTTTCAGGTTTTCAAATGATACAGGCTCTTTTGAGATTAGAAATCAAATATTCAAAGCTATTGTAGGACATCCTAGATTTCCTGAAGTTGAGGTGGCGACAGCAGAACCTACAAACTCAACTGAGTATTTATGCTTATTATTAAAACTTTTTATTATTTTTTTTAAGCTTGAATTTTAACTCCTATATTATAAATTTGAAACTTGCAATTTACTGCAACAATTCTTTTTTTTTTTTTTTTTTAATGAACTTTACTGTAAAATTTTTAATACAGTGAATTCACGATAACTCGAATCTGATAAAACTGACGAAAAACTTCGACGTATCGGAAGTTCGACTTACCGTTAGTTTCGCTTTTGAACTTTCAAAATATTGTCGGATTATTTAATTAATGCTTATTAATTACAAATCTTTTAATTGCTTACAATATTTAAGATCATTTTTCTGACAAGTCATTTACGATAAGACTGTTTGAAGCACTTTATGATACCCTGGTCCATCGGCTGCAACTTTGCTGTTGTGTTTGGCGGGAGAAACTGCAAGTTTACTGCTTTCAAATTAGGTAGATCACTATGCGCTGTGCATTTATCCATAAAGAGTATCACTTTTCTTTTTTTAGCGAAGAATTTCCGATCCAATTTTCTTACATAGTCTTCAAATAAAACTGATGTCATCCAAAACTTTTTGTTAGACTTGTAATCCAAAGGATACGTTTTTACATTCTTGAAACATCGGGGATTTCGGTTTTTTCCGATAACAAGTAAGGACAATTTCTCTATTCCAGACTAGGACAGTCAAACGTTCCTTGCTCATTTTACCCCCTGAGCAGTTTTCATCCTTAAACATCATAGTCTTATTTGGAAGACATTTAAAAAATAAACCCATTTCATCAATATTGAAAACATCATTTTCACTATATCCTTGAAGTAAATTTGGCAACGTTTCTTTCAACCACTGTTCACATACTTCAAAAGGGACAGCTTTAGCTTCTCCATGAAGAGTGCGAAAGACATTGTGCGTGTGTTGCAAAGGAAGGAGCAAGATATCAGCTCCTAGGTTTTTTTTCTTGCTTTAAGAGATCCAAAAAAATCGAGTTCAAGGGAGTAAAATTCGAGTAATCGAGAATAATTAACATAAAATTGAAGATAAAATGGTCGGGACCTCATAAAAAATCGAGTTATAGTAATATTCGAGTTATAGCGAATTGACTGTACTTATGGAACAGAAAAGGTATCTTCTCTTGAATACATTGTAAATACAATGTTTAGTAGGATTGGATTTTTGACATGATGCGTCAAAAATCTGTTGAAAAGTGATGAAATCTGTCAAAAACCTGGGCCAAGTTTCTTTTTGACATTAGAGAGATTTTATTAGTTACTAAATCATGCCTAATACTCACCTTATATGTTTCTATAATTATGATTTATATTATATATCACATATAAAAATGTTGCCAAAATTATTGAAGCTATTAATTGATTTTTCTAATGTTAGTGTTTTCTAATGGAACTAAAATTATTTTCCTTTGTTTGTATTAATTGATCCATTATTTCCTATGCTTCAGAATCTTAAAATAATATTAAAAACAAATAATTTTAAAATTAACTATCAGTTTTTAATTATTATTATTATTTACATTTAGGTCTGGGGCTAGTTCTGTATATATGGTTGATTTAGAAAATGCTGTTTATAATTCTCTAAGACAGGAAGTGGGCATGACGAAAGTTATTGATGGAGAAAAATTTTCTGCTTTGAAATCATACCTCTTTATGTTGAAAGTTGTAAGTGCATCATAAAACAAAATGCAAAATTATTTTAAAATTTTTTAATTTGTTTAATGTTTTTGTAAACTTTTGATGTATTTAATTTTTTCCCCATTTATCTTATTTCAAATAGTACTTCCCAGGATCAGAACCAGTTATATCTTACTTATCCAAATTGTACAACTGGATTTCATATAGAAAACGTTCAGTAACTGGTGAGGAATTCGTTGACATTATGAATCAATATCAGGTATATTTTGCTATTTATTTATTTCCAATTAGATGCATTATAATTAAGTTTTTAATTTACAGTTTTATCTTTATTTGTTTCTTTTGTATGGATTAGTATGGATTTTATTAAATTTTTTTCATTACATTATTAATATTAGACTTGTGAATTTTTAAAACAATAAGGTAATTACATTTTTTATTAATAGCAGATATTTTTTTTAATTTTACTTGAAAGTAATTTTTTAATTTGATTAACAATGATTGATGCAGCTCTTCTTTATTTACTACTTACCCATTCTTTATAGGGGTTGAAAAAAAAGTAAATAGTTAATAAATTGTTATTGATTAGCAGTACAAAATCATGCACAAAACTGGAGAAATATGCCTTTTATGATCTCATATGTCTTCATACGATCTGTTCAATTAATTAAGCTTATAATTTTTTTTATTATTACCCTTCCCTGCTATTTTGCATTATCAGATTAAGCAAAGCATATTTTTAGAAGTTCATCCCATCAAAATGAAAAATAACCCTATTCAGTATCATTTGGCACAATGTTGTGGCTTGACTACTATTTTTGTTTATTTTTAATGCTGTAAACGCTTAAATACAATTTCAAAAATCTGATAAAACAAAATTTATGTTTGAAAAAAATTTTGTGAACTTAATCCAATTTTATTCCCTTCTACCATACAAAGTAGACAAATCTTACTGACAATAAGAAAACAAAGAATTTCTAAGCAAAAAGAAAGCAAAGAATCTTAACAATGATAAGACGATCTTAACGATAATCTAATTTGAACGATGATGACGATCTTAATCTTAACGATGATGACGATAAGAAAGCAAAGAATCTTAAAAGAGAATATTAGAAGACTATTGAAAGAAGAGAATGCTCTTATTGAGATTGATTATCAAATTGAAAAAATGTGTGTCAAATGTGCCCTTAATACTATTAATAAATTTTTAATATTTTACTTGTTAATTATGAATGATTTTATTACTAAAAATATAGTATTTTTTCTTGTGCTTTTAGATTTTTAGTATTGGAAATACTGAGTGTAAAAGTGGTCTAAACCTCTAAAATATTAAGATTAAGATGACAGTGCTATCTGGTGTTTTTAGCCTTGAACAACAAATTTCAACTTACGTTCAACAAATAAAATAATTTTATTTGTGCTGGGGGAAATGTATATTTTATCTGGCTTATGTTATAGATATGCTTGTATCAACTGTATAGTCAAATTTCTCAGCTTTATGTAAATATAAAAATTTATATTTTTGTATAAAATTGAGGGTTAGACCACTGTTACCATCAGTCTTTCTATGATAAGGTAAGGTAACTGTTAACTTTTAATATTTTTTCTTGTTTACTACAAAATTTTTATGAAAATAAACAGTTTATTATATGACTATGTTATTTAAGGTTTCAGTAGTTTAAGGTTACATGTCTATTTTAAAAGATGCTATATTTTAGGAAGTAATTCCTATTATTCTTATGATTTTTTTAAAAACTATTTAACTGCTCCAATGACATATTTACTTGGTCCGGATTATACATATATCTGCTCTGAAAGATGTTCCAAATTTTTTTATTAGGTTTGGGACAGCTAAATTTCATTGCAGTCTTCTATTTTGCCTGGTTTAGGCATTTCTTTTGATGTTATTTCATGTTCCCTGATTTTCTGATTAAATGCTCTATTGGGTTAAGGTCTGGAGGCTGGGATTCATTTGAGGCATTATAAAGGAGCCATAGTTTCTCACTGTACATCATCTGTTCACGGTCAATGCCCTGCAGAAAATAAAAATCTCATTGCTCACCTCAAGCTTCTCAGCATTAATGCTAATATTTTTTCTCAGTTTGTTAAAAGTAATTGGTTTTATTCATTCTTAAATCAATAACTCCAGATTATCAACTGCATTTTTCCCTATTCTTTTTGACATCTTAACACCACTTCTTCCTCTCATGCTTGGGAGTTTAACTTTGTGCAGGGTTTTTCCATACATATTTCTGTTTTTAGGTACCAAAAAATACAAAATTTATGTTTTGTGAAAAGTTATTACCTTTTCCCAAAGAGTTTTATAATTTTATTTAAGTGTTCTTTAGCAAAGGCTATTTTTTTCTTAATTCTGTTCACTTTCAGAATTAATTGATTTAAAAATGAAAAAAACTAGCTAGGTTGATCAAACAGAGAATTTTTTTTAGATTAAGTTCCGAGATGTTAGAGATGAGCAAGAGCTAAAATTTTTATTTTCAGCAGAGCCTGGACCCTAACATTTATTTTTACTTTTATTACCACCTTTTATATTTTTTACCTTATGAAAATGCCAAATATGAATTGTATGTAATTATAAAAAGGCTTTTATTTCAACAATCTTCTTTTTTTCTTCAGACTGAAACAGAATATTTACCAAAAATGCGTGACTATGTTGGCTGTAAAGGTAGTGAACTGAAATACAGAGGCTATCCATGTTCATTGTGGACGCTTTTTCATACCATTACCATACAAGCAAATAATGAATTTAAGAGATCTCTTGGGTGTAAGTTTTAATGTTTAATGTTAAAATATTTTATTAATGAACAAATTTAATATTTTTAAAAATTAAAATTAAAGCTTTATAGAGTATGCAATTTTACTTGTAGTATTTTTTAAATTTTTTATATTCTATCATTATTAAACAGAGTTGGCAAGATTTAGGACAGAATGGATTAATGCATAGCATAGTATAAACCATGGTTTAAACCGTCCTGTCCAAAACCTATTTATTCAAATTATCTTTCAATTAAAAAAAATATTGTTAAAAATGAAATGTTGATTTTTGAACAAGCGATACAAAATGAAGACAATTTTTTGTTTTATTAAAAAAGTTTATTATTGTTTTTAATATTGCATTATTTATCCTTATGCAAAAACGTAATTTATCAGTATTAAAAGCATATTTATTCATATTTAATTTTATTCATTTTTGTTGTTCAATGAATTGTGGAGCTTCAAAAGTTTTCTTTGCCTGTTATATTATTTTCTTTAAAAAGTTAAAGCAAATTGTATGAAAAGTATAAAATATTTATTAATACAGTAGGGAACCGATTATCCGGAACGATCGGGACTATCGCTATTCCGGATAACTGATTTTTCCGGTTTTCTGAATCGCTACAAAAAGCCGTTTTTTTTATTGTTAAACCCAATTTAAAAAAAAAAAAAAATAGGAAATAATCTTAAAAAGAAAAAACGATGAAGTAATACAGTAATGATTATTTCTAAAATGATGGTATGGTAAACATCTTTCAAAAAAGGAAGAAAAATCCTAAAATCTTATGAGGAAAAAAATTTTTTTTTTTTAAAATGGTGGGAAGATTTATCGAATTTCGTTCCGGTTTTTTGATTTTCCGGTTTTCTGATTTCCGGATAACGGGTTCTGTACTGTATATGTAATTATTATGTGGTGTACAATGGTTACACATATAGAATTTTTACATTTTACCAAATTTCAAGGTTTTGGACACTAAGACAGTTTTAGTCAGTTTAGGACAGTTTAAGACAGTAAGAACCACATGTCCTGTCCAAAACCAGTTTAGGATGTCCAAAACCCCAACCCTGGTATTAAAGGTAATAAGTGACTTTATGTTATTTTAGTGTTAATTGTGAGGATGAAAAAAATGCTTTGTTATTGATATGGAAGTGAAAAAAAATTTATTCTCTAAACAAATAAATTTTACAATGTATACTTAGTATCACATAATTTTTTTTCTTCCCTGTATCACTTTTTTCTTTTTTATTTCAGATGAAGAAACTGCGGCTCAGGCTCTCTTTGCCATTAGAGATTATGTTAAATATTTTTTCACTTGCCACGAATGTGTCGAGAATTTCTTAAAAATGGCTAAAGACTTGGAGGCAAAGGTAAAATCATCTGAAAATGCTGTTTTGTGGTTATGGCAAGCACACAATGAAGCTAATAATCGCTTGGCTGGGGATGAGACTGAGGATCCTAAACATCCGAAGATTCAGTTCCCTTCTAAAGAAGCTTGTCCACTTTGCAGAAAGACCGGGGAAACTTTCCGTGACATCGTATGGGATCAAGAACAAGTTTTACAATTTTTGAGCAAAATTTATGGAAAACAAAATATTAAGCAGGGAAGTGTGAAAGTGGTAGATCTTGTACCTTCTGACCGAAGAATAAACAATTCTGCTATGGTAAATAATTTTGAAAATTACTCTTTACTTGAGAGTTGGAACTTTAGATGGTTTACTAGTGCAGATATTAGTTTGTGTGTGTCGCTTTATGTTGTTTCAGCTTTATTAATTATTCTTATATGTCTAATCTTTCGTCAACGGCAGAGGAACAGGAGATTTCGATTAAAGAAATATTTACCGTTATATCATTAATGTTGTTAAAAATTTTTCATTTCACCAAAGACTGGTTTTAATGTCATGAAAATATTTTTATATCATCTTTTAATACAATTTGAATTATATTGATAACTTTTAAAAAGATCCAACTAAAATGTTAAATATTTAAATTTATTTTTCATTAATAAATAATTCTGCATAGTTTTTCATATTTTTTTGAAATACTATTAATTGCATTTTTTTATCATTCAAATTATGTATTGCTTCCTTTTTATTTAAAAATTTGAGATCTTATTTGTTTATTTTATTATTATTTTTTTTCTGAACAAGAAAAGGGCTTGTATGACTTAAAAATTTAATTTTTTATTTATGAATATATAACTTTGCTCAGTTTACTTCTATGTTCTAAACATTAATTTAAAATTGGCACAAAAATTACAGGAATATTCTATTTTCCTGTACAATTTTTTTCACTTGTATTTTTTAATCTGTGATAAAAAAAAAGAGTGCTATTTTTAGTTGAACATTTTGAGATTTTTTTGATTTTGCATTTTATATTAGTTTTTTAATTTATTATTATTCATAGTATAATATTCTGTATAAGTTTATCCCATATTTAACTTCTAAATTGTATTTAATCAGAGTAATTTATTTAAAAAAACAACAAGTTTTTGTCAATTCTTGCCAGTTTGAGTTAACTTTTTCCTATAAACATTCCATTTAAATTTCAATCATATACAAGGATAATAAGTAACCAACATATGAATATAAAGGCACCACTGGGTGTACACAGTTTTTTAACAATTAGTATTTATTTTTGTAAGAATCATTAGTGTAAGTTATTTAATTGAAAAAAATGCATGAAATTTTTTTTTGTGTGTAAATTACCTTCGAATGGATTCTATGATTTTTTCTGGTTGGCGATAGTGCATAAAATAGTTCAGCTCAATTTTTTTTTAATTTTATAGAATTGTATCTATGGATTGGGATAATAAATATTTGTTTTTAGAGCTAAATATTTTTAAAATTTATTTTATTATCAAATTTTTAGTTGAAGCAATGTTTTATAAAATGTACAATTTTCATTACAATAATGTGCTTTTTTTCACTGAACTGTTCATACAATTCATCTAAAAGTTAGTCACATACTTGAAAAACTACAATATAAGTAGACACATAACAAAATTATTTACATCGAATGTCTTTAATTTTGTAATTTAAAGTAAAATTAAATTTCTGTTTTTTCATTGTAAAATTATGCTTTATGCATATAATTTATGTGTAAAAAAGGCTGTAATTAGCTGGTACTGATGATCAAAAACAAAATACTATTACATTGTTATGTCTTAATATACTTTATTCATTAAAGTCGAACAATTATCAATGTGTTATGTCACTTTGTATGATATATTTTTTAACTTTGAAAATTATTTGCTTCAAATCTTATTTTATAATTTGACATCAGATATTATCGTAGGTCACAATTAATTAATGCTTAGCAGAATATTTCTTTAGATTCAATAATCACAATGATCTCTTTGTAAATGGTTAAATTTTCTATCATTCATGTTTCACACTTCTCTATTTTGTTTGGACTATAAACTTTACAGTCAGCGGTCCAAAATTATTGAATAATAATTTCTCTAAACTTTATATAATTCTAAATTGAAAAGTTCTAAGTTTTAAAGAACTTTTTTCAGCTCGAAAAAAAACTGGGTTTGTAATTATTCTGACTTTTCCTAATGAAAAATATTGTGTCCTTACTAAATCTGATTTTTAGCATTTTGTTTTGATATTACCTATTTGTTAGCATTTTGTCATGATATCCACCATATTTTCTATTAATACAAATATAATTTTTAAAATAACCAATATTAAGATAATATAATAATAATCAAAGACATTTTGTCTACTATCTTTTTATTTTAATTAATGATGCTAGTAAAATGGTGTAGTAAAAATATCAGTATGTGAATTAAGGGATCATCCACTAAACTACTCTTGCACAAAAATATTAAGCTGCATATTCAGTTGTTTTCTTTTGAGATTATTGAAATCCTATTTTAAAATTATTTGATAATAGAGGTCTTTTACTCGATTATAAATATTTAAAAAAAGTATTTGTTGTATTGTTATGAGTTACTATTTACTAATTGATTTAAGTTTTTTGTCATGCAGCAGTAAAAAATTTCTATATATTGATCTCAAACTGTTATGAGTTGTTCAGTACTCCATTAATTATGTTATACCAAAACTGTTAAAACTTTTTGTTCTAAGCAAAGTAACTCTAAAACTAAAATTATTATAGTTTACAGTTATTTTATGATGAAACTTGCCTTTATTTGTCTTAGGTAGACAAATTATATTTTTTAGTTTCTAGTTTTCTTTTTTTAAAAGCAGTCTATAATATGTATGATCTGACAAATATTTGCTTGATCCAACCTCCCCCCCCCCCAATTTTGCTCTGAAGAAGAAAAATGTTGCTTTGATTGTTTCAATGGCCTGGACAAATTAAGATTTCATTGCTTCACCTGATTAATCTTTAAGTTATATCATAGACAACAAGTGATAAAAATTTCTAATAGGATTTTGAGAAATGAAAATGCTTTTAATCTAGCATTGAACACACTTGTACTATTTATGCAAAATTAAGGTGAATATTAAAAAAACCTAAAATTTTACACACATATGAAAAAACTTGTTTTTCTTATTTCTCATTAACAGAATGTAAAAAATCTTTTTAGGTTTTTCTGAAAGCATAGTTAGAGCAGCTCATAACTTTTAAATAATAATTTTTATTTTTATTATTTACTTTCATAGATATCAAATTTTTTAAAAATTATTGTGTGACCTTTTTCACTTAATTTTGTTAATTTTTATTATTGCAGAGCATTTTTAGATCAAAAGTGTTTCAGAGTCTTTATTGGAAAAAAAAAAATAATAAAGGATCAAATTGTTAAATAAATATCCTTACTGAAGAGCAACTTTTCTGATAGCCAAATTCACTGTATGATGTTTACTCAAGGATGTTTCTTATTTTCATATTAAAAATTTCATTGTAAAACTTTCACTTTAATTTATTTGATATTTTAATGAACTTCAAAATAAAAGCTGAATTTTCCAATAAGTAGTATCTATTCTTATTTCAATGTTTCTAAATTAATCTTCACAGAATTGAAAATGTGACAGTTTCAAGAGTTAGTAGCATCATTTGTAGTCCTGATACCTGATACCTTGTAGGAATTAACTTGTAACTTAAACCATTAGTAAACACCTTCCAATTTGAAATTTTTTTTTATTTATTGATGAAGTAAGTGACTGCAGGATTTAGATAATATTTCAAGTAAAAAAAATTCAAGTTTTAAACATACTTTATTAGTTTTTTCCGAACCTCAAAAACAGCATTCCATCTTCTTTAGGAATCCTCAATTTTTGCTTACTGCTGTAGCATATTTCCATTCAATGAGTTGAAATTGTAATTTTATTTTCATTATTTTTTTTGTGTCAAAGATGTGTATGCATACATCTGCTAACAACCAGGAAAAGTTATGGTTTTTATCAAGCTATGATCATTTTATTTAAAGTCATAGTTTGATGGAAACAAATTTTGTCCATCTTTTTTTAATTTTGATCACAAAATACTGTTTATATTTGAATAATTACTCCAGTTTATTTTCAATTTTCAGCACTTGCCTAAATTTATTAATATAGAAAATAAAATTATAATGCCCAGTTACTATGTCTTAACAGTAGACTTTATAAATATTGTATTATAATAAATGATAATGCAACAAGGAAAATACGAGTTATTTAAGGAGCCATGGAAATCTATTGAAAGAAATGATGGAAACATTATAATAGATAAATTTCAATATTTTACATGTCACAAGATATTGCTGTTCATTTAGAAAAAATTAGCAGCTTCGTATAGTAAATACTGCCATGTAAAGAAAAATATAACTTTTTTCCTGCAGATTTTTTTAAAAATCTTAAATAGGGGCATAAGCATTAGAATTTAATGAGCATTGCTAAATTTGACGTGAACTAAATTTGACCTGAACTTAAAGTTCTATTTGAAAATAAATAAAAATGAATAAGTAAAAGTAAATAAGTAAAAATAATAAATAACTAAAAGTAATAAATAAATAAAGGAAAATAAAATGAAGCAATGATGATTGTATAATGTATATTTTATTTCATTTTCAAATAATAAGTTTTTCAATTTTTATTAATTTTTCCTATTTACTTAGATTGAAGAGTATTTTTCAATAATTTTCTCCCCATCATTGTTTTAATTATGTTAAATTATTTCAGGGATCAAAGCTTTTTCTGAGTCCAGTTTTGACTGCACTTCTGGTTTTGTTCTATTGCAAAAAGCATTTCTGAAGCTGGTTAAGATCAAATATACAAAAGAATCTCTAACTGACAGTGCTATGTTTAATTATAGCATTTAGGATTAAGTTAGCAGAAATGAAGTTGATTTTTTTGTTAGCTTTACTTAAAGGTTTAAGAAATATGTATGTTTATAATATTTTTTTTTGTAAGTTGATAGATTTTGATTATTAGTTACATATACAGTCAATTTCTGATAACTGTAAGTTCAATGACTCAAATATTCCCATTACTATATATTTGTAAAAATGTTTTTTTTTCTTCACCTATTTATTCTTAATATTTCTTAATTACTCCCTGTTTACTTCCTATAACTAGATTTTTTTAAAGCAAGATTATTTTTTTGCAATTATCTGTAAGCATCATTATCTTTAATGCACGATTATCTTTATTGCAATTATCTTAAAGCAAGATTATCTTCAATGCAATCATCTTTAAGCTTGATTATCTTTGATGCAATTATCTTAAAGCAAGATTATCCTTAATACAATTATCTTTAAGCATGATTATCTTTAATGCTAATGGAATGCAAATTTCTTTTCAACCACCAACAAAGTAAAATATTTTTAACTCTTTTTCTTTCTTTCTTTAATAGGAAATATTCTTAATCCTCTTACCCATTCTTCTCAAATAAATCAAACATTAAGGAATCTCTTGAACTTCTTCAGAAATTCATAAAAAGAGAGAGTTTATGCTTCTTAATTTTTGTTTCTACAAAAATTTTGATTTGGACAGAAAGTGTAAGTTCAAAAAATTTTGAGATGGACTGAAAGTATAAGTTCTGCGTTTTTTCGCCACACTTTTTGTCACATCTTCTGTGAGTATTTTAATGATCAAAACATTTTCATTGTTTATTTTGATGGAATTGAATAAAGTGTGAGATACCATTACAGCAAATCTCCAAAAGCATGTACAGCTACGCTTTTCATTGTTAAATAATATATTTTACTAGCTATGAAGATAGTGTGAGCGAAACTGGAACTTTTCGAATTTGTAAAATTGGCAGGAGTTGGTATTCTATTCGATGAATGTTTAGTTATCTAGCTTTAAACTTTGTTTATTCTTTAGTTAACAAATTCTTTATCAAACCAATAATCTATATATTAATTGTAATTTCCAATTTATTATGCAATAAAAAGCAAAAAAAAAAAAGTAAACTAATGGTAAGTGGAATTTTAAGTCCAAGTTATTCTCCAGTCCTCTCATCTTTGAGTTATTGAGAATCGATTGTATTTTAACTATAATCAGTATAATTTAGTTATATATACTTTAATTTGCTTATATTTTCCAGTAAATCAAGGGATAGAATTTAATTAATACATAATTTTCTCTTTCAATTTTTCAATCAAACTTTTTTTTTTACTTTTGTTCACTTGTTACAAAATCTGAGGAAGAAAATCATATTAAATCAAATTAAACAATTATAAGAAAAACATTCCCAATAGCAGGATTTTGGTAATGCAGTCACGTTCCGTGTAAGCCGTCTTTACTTCCTAGACAAACTGCTACCCATCTATCTGAAGCTAGTCTGCCTTCAAGTGACCACTGATCAAGTCCCAGACCTTCAAAATATTAGCTCAGAGCCTTTAACTACTGAGCCACCACAACTCAATTTAATGATTATATTAATAAATATACTTTGACACTTAAAATGTTTAAGTTTCATTATAGTTAATTTTTCCCAAATTATATTTAGTCATTATATTGAACTGTAACTGTAAGCATATTTATTAAATTTAGGAAATGATCTTAATTTTTTTTGTTAAGCATTTTCTATTTTGATTTTTAATCATATTTTTATATCAGTAAATATTTTACTATTTGTAATAGTGTCTTGTTAACCTTTTTAGTGTTTGGATTGACATTTTCCATATTTAATCTAAATATTTTGCATGAAAAACTGTAATAACTACCTTTGAATTAAACAGTTTTATTATTAATTGAAACATAGTAGAAAGAAAGAAAAGTTTTTACAACCTTGTGCAAACACTTAATGTTCACACTGTTTAATAACTTAACATATAATGATATATTTTACCTGTTTCTTTCAAATTGATTTTTCAAAACTATTTTTGAATGATATTCTGTTCAATAATTGAAATTTTGTTTTCAAAACCTAAATTCTTTGTTTTCATTTATTTCATATTTATAATTTTTTCTATTCTTTAACCCACTAGGCACTAAAGTTCTCATTGTTATGGTTACAACTACTCTTTACTTTTTCCAGCTTCCTTTTCATTGATTCATTTAAATTTTATTAATACATTAAATATAATCTTTGATTGACTTATATAAATTTTTATGAAAATGAAAAAAATGTTTATTAATTATTCAAATTTTAAAATGAAAATGGACATAATGAGAAAAATGAGACTTTTTTTTCTATTATCTTTTTTTGAGTACAATCCTTAAAAATATTACTTTGCTATAACTGTGGAAAATATTTGGAAATCAATGTCTATCAAAAACTGATTCAAAAATTTATTACAATTTAACGACTACCTTGTTTGTCGGTCCCAATGTGAGAGCTTTCATGGATAGTATGGTTTTTATCACTTACTCTTCCTTTCAACACATTTGCATTGAAAGTGAATGCAATAGAATTACTCAGTTATCTGATAGTTCTGACTATCAGCTATGGTTGCTCTGAATTGCAAAGTAGGAGTTCTTTTTGCACATTTGGTGTAGGTAGTCTTCTTAAAAATGTAACTATTTTATAATCGGCGTTGAACAACCTACTCAATTCTAAGCTTACGTCTATCAATGTTCCTTAGCTTTGTAATTTTGAACCCAGGAAAGACTCCTGGATCAAGCATTGGAACAGACGAGCTTTCGTGGAGGATTTTATGATGGAACTAACCCGCATTTGCTCTATATGGAGAGGAAAACCACTTAAACCTTCCATGTTTAACACAACGACAAAAGGATTATAACCCATTATCCATTTACCACTGAGTATATTTTACCTCATTACTGTGGTTAGTGCAAGCCGGGAGCAGAATTTGTATCAACCAGTCACCACTGGGATTCGAACTTGGAAAGCCTCATTGGGAGGGCGACGCTGTATCCCCTGAGCCACCGCAGCTCAAATATAACCTACGATCATTTTTTTTTTGTTTTAAAATATGACCTGTCATGAAATGTACTTTCACAGTTCAATAGTTCGTTACTCTAAAATGCATGCTTTATGCTTTAAAAAGCCCTGGAATATATGGAATCTTCAGACCATTATGAGCTTTCTAACGATTTGGACATTGTTTTCTCATCAAATCAATCCTGTCAAACAGGAAAACTTAAAACCCACAGTCTGACAAAAGAAAATAATAATGTGAGATCTGATGGAATAGACCATTTTGTCGGAAGTAGGTATCAACAATTTAGATACAAATTATGTAAGAAAAGAAAAATTCTCGATTGTGGCATGTTGAATGCAAATTTAGTTTAATTAGGAGTGCTGAAACTTCTACCTTACGAAATATTAATTTGGAAAAAAATAAACAAGTTTATAGAGGGCAGTTTTTCTATTTGATAATTTTTATTTTGTTTAAATTTGTTAATTGGATACTTTATTTATGACGAGAAAATTGTAGAGGGTTTTTTAAATTTGCAGCTGAAGAATCAAAAGGATAGTTAAAAAAATGTGATTATATGTTTACCTAATACTCGGTACTAAAGCTTGCGTCTTGAAAGCAAGATCTAAAAATTAAACTAATTAATTTTTTAGTGCAAAATATTTTTTTACTGCTTTACATGTGCATTATTAAGTAAAATAATTTCAAAACATTAGAAAAAAATTATCTGACATAGCGGCGCCTAATGGGTAAATCCTTTGGAGTAAAACAGTCATATAATTTTTAAATTATTATTTTTTTCTTCCCAATTCTGCCATTTTACTTTTTTAATATTAAAAAACAAAATAAATAATATAACTACAAAAATTAACATTATTATTCAAAGAAATTTGTTACTGGATGAAGCATGCTTATTTTTCCATCTACCTTGAAACTAAATGTACTAAGTTAATTATGAAACTAAATATTTCAATTGATTATTTACAAAATATCATGATCACATTGTTTTATTTAATCACTTTGTATTTATAGCTTATGCACTCACAAACTGTATGTATTATGTATTATTTTAATTGTGAAACTCTAATATTTGAATTGATTTATTTTTATTTCCTGAAATGTAATATTTGTATGATTAAAGTTTTTAATAGATCAAAGTTACTAGAGATTTTAATTGAGTACTTAGTATATTCTGTTGAATGAACTGAGTTATTTTAAAAACAAATATTTCAATTAGTTATTTATGATGTCATGATTACATTGTTTTATTGAAGCTCGTTGTTTTAATATTATAATGTACTTTTATAAATACTCATAAAAGAGGATTATGTCCTGTTTCCTTTAGTATCAAAGTTCTAATCAGAAGTTAAATAGATGTTTTTTTGTAAAATTTCAAGCTATTTTTTTATATTTAGAGCTTTTAATTGATCAAGTTTTTAATTAATCTTAATTTTTTTAGCTATAAGACCTCAATGGTTGATCAAATTTTTTTTTTTTTTTACTGAACCCCGACTGGAGTCAATAAATTTTATTAGCAAATGTGAACATATTGACCCTTTATTACAAACATAAATAATTAACGATTGTGAATAGATAAATCGAAGAAAGATTACTTATTATTGTGAAGATAATGATTGTGAAGAATAAAATGTTTATTGTTTTACCTATAGTCTTAAAGTGGCTGGAAATAGTCTTAAACGATGTGGATATACTTAATGTAAGTCTGATATATTCATTAAATACCCTGATAAAGAATACAATAATTGTAAAATAACAGAGAATATAATTTTGTTCAAGTATAAAGTGATAAAAATAGACAAACTGTCTTTCTTTTGTTTCATTTTTGAACGGAAGCAAGATATATTCAAATTAAAAATACAGAATTTCATGAGAAACTTAAAATTCTCTTTTCGCATAACAAATTTTTAGAAATTGCAATCAACCTTAATAATTGGCATATTCTAATGATGCCAAATGATGATTTGTTTTATGTATGTATTTCGGGTTGGCCTATTAAATTCTGAATTTTTGAAAAACAGTTATTAACTAAAACTAAATACTTGAGTTAGAACAAATGACAAATATTTGTTAGAAGTACTTAGTTAAATAAATTAAAAATAAACACATAACAGGAAATGGGTGAGGTCTTATTTAAATTAAATGTAGAGGCATGTTGCTGATCAATTAAAAATAAAATATCTTTGAAATGAAAGAGAAAAAAATTAAATGAAAAATTATGTATGGAATATTATTTTGATAGAAGTGGTATCTAGTAGTTCTGAATTTATTTTTTATAAACATAAGATGAAAAGCAAATTTTAACTCTCTAACTTTTTGCCTAACCAAAGGTTTCTGCAGAGCACCTTTTTCGGAACTGCTGGATCAGTATTGGGTGGCTTTGGGGAGACCTTCTACAGACTAAAAGTCTAGGGCTATCTGCTGCTATGGTATACCTGCTGGCTATCTGCTGCTATGGTAACTGCTATTCGAAGTGACTTTTCCTTGTAACCATGGTACTCGCCACGACGTAAGACTGATGTCTGGAGGAGTTCTCCTGAAAGCCACACTATCCCCAATATTTTCTGTTTTATTTGTTTACATTTTGTTTGTATTGACTGTGAAACTCTCTGTATGAGGAGTTACAAAATTTTTAATTATGTAGTTTATTATGTTGTTGACTACTAATTTTTTGGTTGTGTGACTGTAATCGGTGATAGTTTTGTGAGCTTTTCTAAAAAAGCTTTCTCGTGGTCATTTTTTAATTTTAGAAATTGCTAAAATAGTGTTAATTATTTTAACCCTTCAACTGCCAGGCTATTAAGCAAATTTACTCAAAAAATCTCAACTGATCAGTTTTTCATTATTTAAAAACGAGAAAGTTTTGTTGTGTGGGAAAGCAGTCTGAGTTTTGCAGCGACAGTTGATAGGTTTCGGCATACTATTCTTTTTATTAAAAAAAAAATTGATTTCCCCTATCTGTTGAGATCTATCTATGGGAAAAAATTATTAGATTTAGAGGTAGCGAAATATTTAGAAATTAAATTAAAAGCAGTTGTTTTTTTCTATCCGAAAAATCATAAATTCGAATTAATAATCTGGTTGAGTGACTTAAAGTTTGAACGAAGTTTATTCATTTAGTAAATTAAATTTAATCAGCCAAAAAAACTTTTTTATAACATTGATATGTTGTGATGTTATTTTTACTTTACAGCAATATGCTTGTATGAAGAACATAATGTTTATACATTGAACAAAATTTTGCTCAACAAATCTTGTGTATTTTTTAAAATTGTTAATTTATTTAGATACATCTATTCCTTTAATGTAAAAAAAAATGTGAGCATTTCCATGAAATATAATAAAATGTTTTTTAAACCAAAAAGTTTCTTTCATTTGAAAGTTAGATATTTTAAACAAATTATTTGTTTTGTTGATTCAAAGTACAAGTATAATTAAATCATTTTTGCTAATTAATTGTTAGTGCAATTTGATTTTTGATCCATTAATATTAAAAATACAAATTTTTGATAGTATTTCAAAATGATTCTGAAAAGTTTTTAAAACATATTTTGTACTGTCTAATTTAAGTTTTACCTGATGTTTCTAATACTGCATATCTTTGAGACAAAAAATGGAGTATTCGAAAGATGTTCATTTATTGCATTCATTAGTGATATCGTTTGCAACTTCAAGAATAAATTGTGGCTCAAGTAGTAAGTGTAGAAGTTAGCAAACTTCAGTGAAAAATCAACTAAAGTGTTATCGAAATTTGATAAATTATTATCATGGAGGTGTAATTCTTGAAGCAAACTGATGGGCATCGGCTTTTCACTAGGTATCTTCTTTGTTTCCTAAAAATGAACCAGTTTTATTGATTTTAATTCTACTTTTTCTTTTTTAATATTTTTTGTTTTATTAATCTGTGATCTATGTGTGGGATTTTTTACTTTTTTGAAAAGGATTCTAAAAGATTATCAAGAGCAGTGATTATGAAAGGTCTTGTGGTGTACTAGTTTAAGGATTTTTCTACTCTAGTGTAACAACCATTTAGAAAGGTTTACCTTTTCAGGTGAATAAGGGTTCCAAAACACCCAAGATTTTTTCTTTTTGAACTGTGCTTAATAACATTAAGTATTAATGTTTTGTGCACTATACATCTGCTTATGCTCCTAAACTTTTTATACCACTAATCAAACTAAATATGTTTTTTTAAAAAAAAATTATACTGTTAATCAAAATATCTATAAATGTTTGTTTTCTTTTTGATTCTTATGAATTGTTTAAATTTTATATAAAGGCAACTCAGTAAGTGCATACTAATAAAAAAAAAACTGAACAAAAGAAACTTTTCAGCTTCATAATTATTTAAATTATACAAAATAATTTAATTACTAACTAAATTATATTATTGAAAACTTAAATCCACAAATATCTTCGTACAAGTTTGTGAGAAATCGTATTTCATTGCTAACTCACGATCATAAACAAAATTATTGCTATCAAATTTATGATCAATTATGAAGATCATCAATAAAAAATAAACTTTCCGATATAGCAGTTTTTTTCTTCATCCTGAGAAATAGATTTTTTTCCTGTTGCTTTATTTTTATTAATATGTGAGGCTTTTCAGGAGTCAAGTCAAAGTTAGACCCATAGGTTGTTCATCCCTGGTGAATGGGATGCCAAATCTGAATTGATATCTTGAATTGAGAAAATTTCTTTTCTCTGGATACAAATTGCGTGCAATGAAATTTTTGAGTTAGAACAGCATAATTTATGAACCATTAGATTGATTTTGGTATATCAAGGTTACAGAAAAGTCCAAGAGGTTAAAACAAGAGGGTCTTAAGAAAGGGGATGAATGGAAGTAATAAGAAAACTGTTTATGGTTACAACATGAAGATTTTTGATTTTATAAAGAATAGTGACGAGGTAAGATAATATCTATTTTGACATTTATTTTGTTTTCTTTTATATTGTGCTTGTTTGAAATTATATTTATCATTTAGATTTCACACTCAGTGAAGACTAAGAAAGAAGTAGATTTGTTTTCTTTTTAAATATAAATTTACTCGCTTTCGTAAACAAGATTACTTAAATATGGTAAGATTTAGGATTGATTTACATAATGTTTATTAAAAATAGTCACGTTATATTAAAACTTGGGAAATTTTTTTAAATTTAATCATTGCAGGTTAGAATCTAGTATTATATTGCTGATATAATCTGGAAGAATTACGATTGAACAGTTTTTTTTTTGTACAGTGAAATATTTTTAATTTATAAAAAAATCAAGGTTTCAATTCATACAACTAAGCCAGTTACAAGACAGTAATAATTATTGACCTAGATCAGGTTCACCAATGACCTATTATTTTATATATTTTAAGATTATATGAATAAAATATGTAAAAAAACAAAAAGAAATTATTTAGCTGATTCAGTGTTGCAGCCTTCACCAAGTGACTAGATCACGTCCATTCATAATCTTCTCAGTCAGGTGTGTTTTTGCACTAGTTTAGGTGACTGGACATACATTGTATGGGTTAAGCAATATTGGGCCTTATGTTTCATTATGCTTACATATAATATCTTACATAAAATTAAATATTTCTACATAATTTTGAGCCTTGACATAAGGCCAGTGCAGTATAAATATGGTTCCATTTCCCTTATTTCCAATTTATCATAAAATAATGCATGCCTTCTTACAAATAATAAAATTTTAAATCTTCTCATAAAGAGCCTATGCTGAAAGAATGGGATTGACTACTTTTTAAGGTGATATACATACAAATATCGAATTGCATTTAAATATTTTACAATTTATAAATTAAGTAATATAATCAGCAGATAAACTTTATTATAATCATTATTTTAGCTGTTTTTTAAGGTTGGTTGTAAAGTAGTGTGGTTTATTTATTTTTTAAATAGTATTTAGTTGACACATTGTAAAAAAAAATTTTTTTTTTGCCATTTATCTTGGAATTCACTAATCACATTTGAACACATTTTCTACTCTATTTTTCAAATTTCAATGATCATACTTACTTTTTAATTTTATTTAAATTCAAGCACTTAGGTTGTCAGTTTATGTGCTCAAAATTTTATTGATCATTTTACCATTCTGTTTCACAATGATTTTGGCCTGCACTAATCTTTTTAAGAGAAACTGAAGATGTACGATGCTATGAATTAGGTTAATGGTTTAGAAATGGAACACTTAAAACAGATTTTTAATCTTTTACCAGTCTTTATAATACACTATTTCATTATTCATAGATTTTACATAATGATTTTTCTTTAAGTTTAGTACAAATGGTATGAAATTCATAAATAGTTTGTGATCTTTTATGGGCAAAGCATTTCTAAAACAAATGTGGAAAATAGTTTTTATTTTACTATCACATATTTTATATATATATACTTGTAAATTTTTCTAGTGAAAACGCTAGATATATATATTGTAAAAGCTCATAAATTAAGAGCAAATCACGCAATAACTGTCTTTTAAAAGAAGTTAAGTTTTAAAAAGAAAAAAAATGTATATTTTTTTTCAATATTAGTATAATTAAAAATATATTATATTAGTATTTTTTTAAATATTGGTATTATTATTTAGATTTCTAGTATTCTAGTTTATTTAAAAATATAGTAAATGTACCACCCTCAACAATTTCAGAAATATCCCAAAGGAAGCAAAATTATGAAATTTTTTTTTGTAAATTTTATTTATTGTATATCTTAACCTGAGTTTGCTTACAGGATAAACAGCTTGAGTTTACTTACAGGATTAACTAGTCTTAAAAGTTAGTTTAAACTTATTCCACATAGTTTTAATTTAGTCACAGTGACATAATTTAGGCAAATTAAATGTTGTAATTCAGAAAATAAAAAAAAGCATCAATCAAAATTTTATTTTATTTTTAAAACTACAGTTTTAAAAATGTAATTAAATAAGTTCACATATACAAATATAATAGAAACAAAATAAAATTTATAACTAAATATTGGCAGTCGCAACATATATAGACTAGAAAATCACATTATTTTACACATAGAATAAATTTTTGTATATTGGAATGAAAGTATATAGATAAATTAAATAAATAAATAAAATATGCATGCATTTACTGTCAGTATTCGGTTTGGTCCCTAAGAAACATTTTCAAAGTAACAAGAGTCAGCAACCTTTGACTTGACAAATGTTACAAATTTTCAGTAAAATTTAATTAAAAAAATTAATGATGATTTCTTGAAATAGGGATATAATCCTAAATTAGTTTGTTGTGAAAAATATTCCCTACTCACCAGGTTGTACTATTGTTTCGATCAGGGAGTAAGTCAACTTAAAACAACTTCATATTTCAACTCATATTATATATGATTCTCTTAGTTTTTCATACAATATTTCTGTTCATAAAATGAAATTGTTTTATATTTTTATTAATTGCAAAGATTTATCCACTAGACAAAAGTGTTTTCAATATTCAACCAGAATTTACCAGAAAAATTGAATTTATTACTTAGAAATATGCTTAAGAATGTTATCGTTGAAGCAAACTATTGGTAATCCTGGGATACAAACTGGTTTCCTTTCATGCTTCTAAATATCAAGAAGGTACATAATTCTCAGCAGTTCTGACCAAAAGCTCAGCAGTTAAAGGTTAATTTTGAATATAACCAATTGATTGAATTTTTTTTTTTACTCAAGGGAAATTACATGTTAATGCTATAATTTTTTGATATTTTAAGTTCTATTGGTATTTTAAGTTCTGTAAGTACAATTATTGGATGTTGGTTGGGCTTAAGATATCCACAAGATAATTAAACTTGTATTGCAGATTTTATTTGGCAAGTAAATAATATAGTAAAGGATGCTAAATCAGTTATAATATTTACAACAGAAAAAATTTAAACGTTAATTTGTTACATTCTTTTATTTTATTTAAATTTAGGCAGCAGTTAAATTTTATTCAAGTTGTGTTTCTGAATTTCCATTAAATAAATTACTTTACAATAAAATCTGCAGAAATATAAAGGTTACTTTAAAAAAAAATCTTATGACAGTATCTTTTTAATCATTATTTATTGAATTTTTTTATTAATAATAAATGCATTTTCATAATTTCTAAGGTTTATACTAAATGTAGCAATGCTTTCCCTTATTTTTCTTTAGACAAAGTAATGCCATTTTTTTATCTATCAATGTTAGTGTGCAAGGATGGAATTGGTCAAAACTTAAAAATAGCAGTTATGAATTTATAATATTGTGAAAAGTTTAGTTAAAATTAATCATTGTAAATAATTAATTTTTAACAAAAACCTTGTTACCAAAGATTGTATTTCAAATGCCAATGATGGTCAAACGTTGCTGATCCCTAATCTATGACAAACTAAAATCATTTAAAGATAAAATTGTAAACAGTTAAAATAAACAAGGTTTCTAATAACAAAAGTTCAAAGGAATGTTGTGAGGAGGCTAGAATATTAATAGATTGTAATATGGTAAACTACATTATTTTAATTCAAAAAGAATATTTGGTAACTTATAATTTAATTATATATTTTAACAAAAAACATTTTATAAGAACTTGAAAAATGATTTTAAAATATTTAGCATAAAAAGTTTTTTTCTTAGTTTTTCACTATTACAGAAAATTATGCATTTAATAAGCTAAATATTGATTGTAAGGAAGGTACATACATGGTTTCTATTTATTTGACATTCAGTTATTTAACATTTGATGCAATTTTTTTAAATTTCAATATGATCTTTTGATCATCTAAATTTACTTTTACCTGTTCTGTCAATTTTTAATGAATGTTCGAAAAATTGAGAAGAGACACTGTTAAAAAAGGTGGCAATATTTTTTAATTCTGTTTTCAACAAAACATTTAGTATAACTCTAGTATGAAATCATTATTGTAAACAAATATTGCAATACTGATGCCATAGGAACACCAAAAGCATTATTTTAAGTATTCAGAACAATTTAAATAATCTGTGGTGACAATAAGTTGAAATTTATTCAAGCTTCATTGAGTGGTGGACATTTAATAATTTAAATGTAAAATAAATATTATATAACTTTTATATTTTAATACTTTGTATAAGAATTGAAGCTTGTATCAACTTGTCATCGAAGTATTATTCAATTGAAGCAAAATATTTATGAATGTGATTAATTTTAAAAATACAAAATCAGTGATACTAATCGGACTATTCTAGGCATGGTTATTACAGTACCAATCTAATATATATAAAAAACCCTGCTTATTTTTAAATCTACACAAATGTATTTGAAAATATAATTTCTAGTTCTATTTTAATGCATATTAAAATTAAAGCATTTTGTTTTATTTTTAAATCTATACAATAAAACTCTAAACATAATTCTATTTAAATAGTCATGTAAAGCTTGATAATATATACATCATAATTTACAAAATGGCACATCATTAATTTACAAAGTATATTCCACTTTTATGCAAAAAAGTAAATATAGATATAAGTATTTATAGTCTTATTCATTAAAAAACAATTTTTTTCCTCACTTGCAAATAAATGTATCAATATATACAGTTCTTTTATGGCACATCAACCATAAAGTTATTTTACATGAATGAAAGGTATAATGATCAACTTGGGAAGATATAAATAAAATATATTAAGGAATGTAAAAATGCACACTTTCTACATAATCATATCGATTATAATCCACATATATTAGGTTGCGTCCTTGTTGTCAGCAAGTGTGGAATTTTCTTTTTTAGTAACATCACGAAGTGAAGACCAGGTTTTATGCAACCATGTGTTTTTAGAAGCCTGAATTTCTGCTACAGCATTGTTAAGCTGATGAATAAGATCCTAAAATAAAATCAAAACTTTGATGAATGCAATTTCGCACTAACAGGCTACGTTTACTTATCGTATTTCCGAAATAACCATTGTTTTAACAATTGACCAAGTAAGCCTAGATTTTTACACTTATGATTTAAAACTGACAGCACAATCCTGTTTTCCTTAACTTATTATGCAAATCAATTTCTACTCTCGTTTTAGATTTTCGAATGCAGAAGCGCAGCCCAGTCTTTGAAAAATCCAAGACGATTTAATGTAATAACTGAAGTAGACTACAGTTGGTATTATTGCAAAACTAGTAGATTTTTAACTAAATTAGTCAAAACATTATGAGGAGATGTTTAGAAATAATGTATGGATGTAGAAAAGAAAATTAAGTAATGAACAAGCAATAATTTAATTTTATTGATAATACTTGTTGGTAAGTAAAAATTTTTTTTTTGTATATTATAAAAACAAAGTGATTTTTCTAGAAGGAATATGGTTTTCCCAAATCAAAAGCAACGTCACTGACTTATGTGGCATGGAATGAAAAAGGTACAGGGTATGTATCTTTTACTACTGCAGAAGAGAGTAATCCAATTGTTTCTCGAGGTGTTGTGCAACTAGTGTCTTTCTTAATATGTTCTATTGGGTTCATATCCAAAGAACATCCTGGATGACTAATTTGAGGAGTCCTTCGATAGAAAAGGAAAATGTCCACTAGTTGAGCATGATGCATTTCAGGATTATCATTCATGTGAATGAATTATATTCAGATTCTTACAAAATAAGGAACCAGAGAATGTTACCCCTATACAACTGAACTTTTAGTGCCATATTTTTAATAATGTTCATGTTGGTGTGACCATCAATAGAAATACTGACCCTGACCATCACTCTCCAACAAGTAAGATATTTTATGCTTGAATGCCTGGTTCTTCAGATGATTTTTCTTTTATTATCAGGTTGTTTACATTAGCCGAAGAGAAAATCAGAGTAAAATGTATATCCATGTGCTATGGAGAGTTGGTGAGGGACTAATGTTAACTACAGAATCAGCATTCATATGAATAAAACAAGACTGGGGTATCAAGATGAGCTGATGTGGAAATAATTTTGGTATTGTCGAAATTGAATTCATGCTTGAGATTCCAACAATGTGCAGCAATTGATGATAACAGACACATCTATCCTTCTTTTTAAGTCTAAATTCTAAAGCTCATCTAGTTAGTCCGATGTAGCCAAGGTCGTACTGACATGGAATGGGGTAAATGTTCCAGCAATTATCAAAGGTAATAGGATCTTTCAGAGACTTAAATTTGATTTTGTTAACAGGCCTAAAAATCACTTTAAAATCTAAATGGTAAAGTAACAAATTCTGGCCTTTGGGTCTTGTGAGTTCAGCAAGAGCTGAATCAACTATAGGAGGATTAAATCCGTGGTTAGCAGCAAGCAAGTGCAGGAAGTTAAGTTTGGAGTTTAAAAAAGAAATATTAAACCAATGCAGAAATTTTTTGACAGCTAGGGTGATTAGAATTTACATGAGGGGGCAAAGAGACGGCAATATGTTTACAATGAATAGAGGTGGAAAAATGACTCGGGTATTTAGTTGCAAGAACATCTAAATAAGATTAAATAATAATTTTAGTGTCACAAGTAAATTGAATGTTGGGGTCAACTGAGTTGACAATAGAAAGTAACTCTTGAAAATCAGTACAACTGTCTAAGACAAACGTATCATCAACATACCTTTTCTACCATGCCTTATTTGAACAATTGAAAGAACTTCTTTGAAATAATGCACGAATATGTCAGAAAGAATAGGAGAGAAGGGGTTGCACATGGTTAAATACAGGAGCTCAGTATTCAGAAAATTGCTTTTCAGTTCAATGGTAATTTTTATAAACAAAAAATTGAGGGTTTAGCCATGGGCAACCCACTTTCTCCAATTCCTTGTGACATTTTCATGCACTATTTCAAAGAAATTTTTTTTTTAGATTGCTCAAATTCTCATGGTGGAACTGATGTTGATATGTTTTTCTTAGCAATGATACTGATTTTCAAGAGTTTCTTTTATTTGTCAACTCGGTTGACCCTAACATTTAATTTACTTTAGCGACAGAAATTAATTTTACTTTACCTTTTTTAGATGTTCTTGTAACTAAATACCCTGATAATTTTTTCACTTTTGTTTATCATAAACATTTTGCTGTCTCCCTGCTCTACATGTTAATTCTAAACACCCTAATTGTCAGAAAATTTCTGCACTTCATACTTTCGTTATCCATGCATGTAACCTTTGTTCTGACTATTCTTCTTTAAGCTTCCTCTGCTTGCCTGCTGCTAACCTAGGTTTTAAAATCTTCTACAGTTGATTCAACCTTTGATAAACTCACTAAACCCGAACGAACCTCTTCTTCTAATCCTTACAGAGAACTAGTTACTTTACTGTATTTTCCATCTGTTTGTATGAAATTGCTAATATCCTCTCTTGTTTTGGTTTTTAAGTCATTTTTAGGCCCGTTAACAAAATCAAATTTAAGTTACATAAGGATCCTTTTATCCTTGATAATCGCTGCTGCCTTTACCACATTCCTTATCAGTGCTACAATGGCAAACTAAATGCACTTTAAAATTTAGACTTATGGAACATGAAAGATTTGTCTGTTATCAATGCTGCACGTTGTTGGAATCTCAAACATAAATTCAATTTCAACAATGCCAAAATTATTTCCACCCCAATCACACCAGCTCATCTTGCTGCCTTTTCCATATGAATGCTGATTCCCTTGCTAAAGATATTAGCTCTTCACTTCTCTCCGTAACGTGTGGAAATACATTTTACCCTGATTCTCTTCTTGGCCTTTAGTTTAATATATGGTGTTATCACACTGAACTCATGATGTTCCTCTATTGTTTTGATCACTTACAGCACACAATTTAAAAACTTGCTAAACCCAGAACAACTTTGGGTTAATAATGAATTTTTAAATAACACTGATAAATCTATCCTATATTTTATAATATTGATAATTTAAGTTATAATATCAAATAATATATTTTCTCTGAATAAACATACCATTTTTTAATGAATTTTATTTATTTACTCTAAATATGGAAGGTAATAGTAAATAAGAATATATGGCCTGAATAGTTTTGTCAGGAAACCAGTCTAAAGTTAATCGCAATTTTTTCTTATCTCGAGGGAAAAACCTTTTTTAAATTATTGAAAATAATGATCTAAGTTTATTTCATGCAATAATTTATTTAAATACTTTTTCTAAAATTTGTATTTCATTTATACTTCCTTTTAATCACATTTCTGATGCTAAAATGCTAATGATTGCTTCCTCCTAATGCCCAGCTTGATTTTTACATTACGCTTGTTATACTCAGATTTAATCATACATTGGGTGTAAAAGCAGTGATGCACTGCAGATATGGGAACATAGAAATTTTTTTGCAAATTTGATATGTTAAAAATTATTTTTATGTCACTGAATTTTGTCAGAAAATGTCACCTCAATTTCATCACTTACATAGGGCTAAAAATAATATAACTTGGCAAGATTTAGATAGTACAAGTAATGTCGTTTATCATGTAGTAGCTATTGAATTCAAGCAACAAAAAAAAAAAAAATTGTAGCTTATTATCTCACACACAAAAAGTCTTTCTGTTGCAATCTAATTTAATTAAAATTGGTTCGGTTCATGTCTATTAAAATAATTTATTAATAAAATTTTTTTTTTAAGTACCTGATTTTTACATTCTGCTTCAACTAAGGCAAGCTTTGTCTGTGCAAGTTCTAGTTCAAGCTCTCGCACCTGTTTGTCATTGTCAACAACATCCATGTTGGAACCATTGGTTACATTTTGATTAGAAATGATTAGGGTGTTATTCGAAGAAAATAATTTCTTATGGCAGCTTTCACAATCATCAACACCATCCTGTTCAATAGAAGATAAATATGCTAGAAATAACTAAATATACAAGAATAAACTAATGATTGTCTGATAAGTTTAAAATTTTATAACTTCCGAGACACATTTAAGGCACCATAATGAAGTAATTATGGCTATTAACAGACATTTTTAAACATGAAACACCAGTATAAAGCTTTTATTTTTAAGAAGTTTCAGTTTCATGTACATAAATCAATTTGATAAAGGAATCATTTTTATGATTACCATTAACAAAGAAAAAAAAAATCATTTGGTCCAACATTATTTTTGTGGAATACACTTTTGGCTATATCTCAAAGAATATGAATTTTATAATAATACATATATATAAATTTTAAGATCACAGCACAATAATTAACTTAGTACTATTTCCCTTTGTATTTCTGTGTGGAGGGAAAAAAACACAGCACACAGCATTATGTTAGATATAGCTGTCACATTTCTAAGTCAAAACTCAAATATAAATCAATAATTTTAAAAACTTATATCTTCAAAATTTGATTAGCTATGGTCTCTTATTTATTTCACAAGGGAAAATGTCACCAATAAAAATATCAGCGTAAGTCTATTATTTTAAAAAAAAAGTAATTATCACATCATCTTAAAAGTTACAGATACGGCTCATTTCTTAATAAGTTAACCTATTTCTAGAATTAGCCCTTCTCTTATTAGTTCCAATTTTCATGAAGTTCTGCTGAGAGAACTTAAAACTTATTGTGTGAGTCTATAAGTTAAAGAAAAGTTTTATTCAGTTTAGACTGGCATAACATTGGTCTCTATTTTTAACAAAAGTAATGGTTTAATTATTAACATCACTCTAATGATTGTTTGAGAATCATCCTCAATTTCTAATCCAAACTTGATGCTTGCACACACTAACTACACTACCAGAAGGACTTAAACTCTCAAACTACCTGGAACATTCTAGTGCCCTCTAATTACACATCTAGCCTTTTACCAAGAGTAATCACGTATGTTACTCACCATACCAACTAGACTTAAGAAAAAAACTATTATGATGAATAAACATTTGGACTGTTATAAATAACAAATAAACAAATATAATCTACATTATTATAAAATAATTAATAATTTATAACCAAATTACAAAATACTAATGATTTATAACAAAATTATTATTATAAAATAAAAATATTTAATCATACTTTTACAGCATTCATGAAGTCATGAAAAAGTTTTTGCTCTTTTTCCAATCTTGAGTTTAATTGACTACAAATCTAAAAAAAAATAATAAGAAAAGTATTAAGTTTCTCTTTAAGACAATGTTATTTGTGATATTATACACTATTATAAAATTCACATAAGAAAAAAGCAGAATAAGCAGGTAATATTCAGCAATAATATGTAATTAGATATGTTTTTTTTTCCATATCAAAGTGATAATGCAATCGTTATTTTTCCATAAATTTTTTCATATGATTATACATAAACACTCAAAAAATAGAACTCTAATTATTTAAATTTAAACTGCCAATTAATAAAGCTTTATTTCAATACTCACAAGCTTATATTCAGATATAATATTGTTGTTTCTAGCTATCTCACTTTCAGCTTGCTGCAGTTCTCTTCTACAAAGTTCTTTTAACTACAATAAAATGTATGATTTTTATGATTCTTGAATAGATATTGTACAAAATTGAAATTTTATCAAAAAATCTAACAGTACAGTGATTGCCACTAATGAAATCACTGAATTGTAAAATCAAATCTGAAGGAACAGTGTACTTGTTAATTTCACACTTCTTCTCAAAGTTGAGGAGAGAGTAATACATACATATATATATATATATATATATATATATAGTGCAGATCCCTTTCAAAAAACTTGAAAATGAGAGTGAAACATTCAATGATTAAAAATCATCTATTAAAGTGCAGTAAAGCATATTAATTATCCAATAAAATACATTTTACCATAAAAAAGAGACACATGTCAAGGGAGAAATTGTCACATACAAATACAGTCAGACCTCTATTTAACAAAGTTGCTAAATCTAGACAATAAGTTTGCTATATGGCAAATTCGTTAAATAGAAAATTACCTTTTGAAATACTTAACAGAAAGCAAGTTTTATATTCATAAACATTAGACATAATTAAAATAGCAATTGATAAACCTTTATCTTGTAAACTAGTATCTACTATTTATTTTATAAATCTTAACCATCGAAGAAATCTGCATGGAAGGCAAGAAAGAAGCAAAACATTATCCAGTGTTACACTATCATGCTATATACATTTTCAACTAAAAAAAGTCTAAATTTATGTATAAAAATATAGTTGCATTTATTATAAAAGTAATTTTAAACATACATTACCACTTGCGTTAAGTTAAATTGCTACGGATGAAATCCGTTAATTTGAAGTGAGTTTTTCGTTTGAAGTGCAAACAAAAAGGGAAAGGGAATTTACTGCTTTCTCTAAGATAATTTTTAGACAAAACAGTAATACATTTCATAAAGCAGTGGCTTCGAAAATTAATTTAATGTCATTTCCCCCATAAATTGCTTTAACAAGTTTAAAATGTTAAGAAATATTTTGGAAAATAGGGAAATTGGATCTCAATGAAAAGTTCGTTAAATAGAAAATTCACTTCCCTATTTGGAAGTTATTTTACGAAGAAATTTCCATAATGTTCTTGGTTCCTCAAAAAATTCGCAAAATGGAAGTTCGTTAAATAGAAGTCCCACTATATATATATATATATATGAAGTAAAGGATTCCCTATGAAAACTGTTTATGAAATGCATGTAATCATTCAATGTCAATGATTATCACTCACTCAATCATTCAATTAGGTAAATCTATCATTAACTAATGACTGAAAAGTGTTTAATATTTTAATGAACTTTTCAACAAAGAAAAAAAAAAATTCAGAAAAACTAAATTTTTAAACCATGCTGAATTTTTAACATCAAATAAGTTAAAATTTTAAAACCTTTCTGTGAATTAAAAATTGCAGTTCATGTTTAATTTAAATGTCAAACGTAAATTCAGCAACATAAAATATCAGTTCAACTTTTATTGTATTTGTAATATTTTTTTCCTATAAGTGTGGATATTCGCGTTCATACAATCAGCTGATTTATAAAATTTTATGTTCTCAGAACGAAAAAGATTTTAATAAGCTGCGAGCATTGTATTATATAATCAAAAGAAATAAAAAAAAGATTTGGCAATGCCATGTGTGATGCGATATAATTTTTTTAAAATTATTGCACATAATGTTGTGTTGGATTCAATGCTTAGTTTAATGGTAAAAGAGCCAGATTCAACGCATTCTTTAAAAAAGTTTTACATTTATATAGTTTGGACAGATTTTAATGGTGTTAGAAAAATGTAGGTATGTGTTTTATTGAAAAAAAACTCCTGGTATCACCAGCACATTATCTAATGATGAAAAGCAGTTAAACAAATATTCAAAATCATGGCAATAAATAACAAATGTTTAGTCATCTTGTTTTGTTTATCTCTGTTTAATAAAGAAGAACCAGTAATTACATGCATAGAAAATTTCTGTATCAAAAAAACTTAATACTTTGCAGCTTTATTACTTAAAATACCATGAAAAGTATCCTTACTTTCAGTTAAAAATGCATTTTAAACATTCAAAGGTGATAGACACAGATTCTATGAGAGTTTTGGAAGTTGTTTTGCCGTGTAATTTTTTCAAATCTGCATTCTAATCTTCAACTGTTTTCTTTCTTTTATTTTTCATTATACCTCAGTGAGGGACTGAGATTACCGGAAGAAGTTGGCCTCTTTAAAAATTTATTTCATTGTCATCCAGCTATTCTGTGGTTTAGCTTGAAGTGTGTGGACTAGCATTTTTTTTGTAATAAAAGGCTGTCAGGGTAAAGTGCTGCCGTAATAGGATGGATCTTTTCCTAATCGACCAGAAATCTAATTTTCTGTTGTGTTTAGCACGATCTTCCATGCTTATCATTTCTGAGAAAAAGAAAACTTTTCCAGATATTGGTTTTATTTGAGTACCTTCCTTATTTTTTTTTTGCACCTCTGTTCGCTCCAATCATTTTCATTAGTTTTTAGATTAGTTTTAAAGTTTAATTCAAAGATAGTAAGTTTACATAGGTTAAATCAAAATGTAAGTTCTTATAAGTAAGTTCTCTCAAAATGCAGTTGCATTCAAATATATCTTACCTGGTTAACTTCTATTTCTAATCTTCGCTTTTCATCTTCTATTTCAGTCAATGATTTTTTAGTGGATGTTGTCTCTCTGTAGTAAGCCTCTAACTTTTCTAAGGCCTAAAGTTAGAAAAAAATAAAGTATTTAAACTTGAATATTAGATAAAATAATGTATTAGTCAAGAATAAACTATTTACTAAAACTAATAACAATAATAAAAAATAACATTTCACAGTAATATGAATAAAGAAAATATAAGGGAAGTAGGATGATAATTATTCAATTTAATTTAGGCCAGGCTTAAACGGGGGAATCAGACATCCAGATAATTAACTGAAATTGTAAAAAAAATTATTTTATGAATGAAAACAAATTAGGCATTCGATAAAATTATAAAATGGAAAGTAGCCAAAAAATAAGCTTCTTTTAGTGCAAAAAGTATAATAAATATTTAACAAGTTAGTTTAAAAATAATTCCATTCAATTGTTTTTAAAATTTGGTTAACAACAAATGTTTGCATTGTAGGAATTAAATATTTATGCATCACAATAACCTAAGTTTTTATTTTAAAGATATTAGTCCAAACAGTTCCTTAAGTATAAAATTTAAAAATATACTTGATTACAATTACTTACAATCACTTTTGGCATAAATAATTGTGTAATGTGTAATAAAAATATTCATTCTATGAAGTTAAAAATTTTAATTAAAGTTTTTTGAACAAGGTGATTAGCATGCTAAATCCTGTTATTCTGGTCCATTTGTTGTAACAGCCATAAACAGAAGGTTAAACAAATGGTAAACTAATTATTAAAAATTATCTTTTAAAACGTGTTGTGGAACAATTTTAAAATGTTCTACTTGTGAAGGGAAGAAAATAAAAAACTAATATCATCTCTTATTGTAATTTTATGCAATAATTTTTTAATTTCAGCAAGTCACTGAATTTAATCACTAAATGTTATTCTAAATGAAATTTTTTTTTTTATTCAGAGACCGCACTATCACACTTAACATACTAATAGAGTATTAAGACACATTCTTCTCATTTAGAACTAAAGAATGTTAAATAGCCAAGACTGTTTTAGCTTTCTCCCCCAGGACCTAACACCAATGTTCCTCAAACATATTAATCTAGTGTTATTTATCTTTTACCTACGATATCAAAACTAGTTTAACTAACAAATTTCCTAGATTACCAGAAGTGAAAGATAAGAAACTACCCAGGCAGCACTTATTTTCAGGATATTTTCTTCTTTTTTTAATAATTCAAGACTGAAAAGACTTATCGTCTTCATTTTGTACAGGATATCTTAACATTTTATTTTGTCATTAAATTATATTTGTGAACTAGGATTAGATAATTATGTATTAAAATAAATGTTTTTTGTTTCATTAAGATAAAGGGTAGTTACTCAAATATTGTTGTAATAAGTGATTATTTTCTAATAACACAGGTTTTAATACACTTCAAAGTAAAACCGTTTAAAAAATTATCACATTTCAATTACATAATTTTTAATATAATATGGTTATTTAATGAAAGTATATTATACAACACTGTGAAAAGGTAATATACTTAAAAATTAAGTTTAATTGTTGCTTTTGGAAGGAAAAACAAACATGCAAATAAAAAGCGTACAGTGCGCAAAATAAGAAACCAACCACACTGAACAACTCTTGATCTAATGATCACGTTCTAGGAATCAATTTTCATGGTTTGAGGGAATGACCTCAAATATGCTAATAGACTAGTGCAGACGATATTTTAAGACACATAAATGTACTTTTTTTTTAATAAACATATTTTTTTCGACTGATTCTGATTTCTAATCTCCAAAATATAGGGAGTAGTCGCAATCTGGGAAATATCGTCCCAATAGTTAGTTCAGGAGAGCAGTCCAAAGTTTGGACCCTTTAATATTAATTTACTTCTAACGTATTTCGCCATATCAGGAGAATTTAAAAAATTGAACATTTTTGCTCACAATTATAAAATTTGTTTATCTAAGGATTATACCATGCAAGAAATAAATTTTAACAAATATTTATAATTTTATATTTTATTTAATATTGTAAGGTATACAATTTTTTTACATTATTTTAAAGAACATAATTTTGCATCGTAAATTAGAGTTAAAAATTATTAAGGGTTCAAAAATTATTCAGGGTGCTCTGTTTCTTATTTTGCACAATGTACATATAGCAATAATAGTATTTTTTCACTCTCGCCTCATGTTTTAAAAGGTTTCTATTTCAAGATATCATTCTGATCTACTTTTACTCTTGTATGTTACATAGCAGCATGCAACAGAAAATATCAAGCTACGTTAAATAGTGTAATTTACTGTGATGCTGTACTAATATTGGAAGTTATTAAGAAATATATGTGCAATTAAATTATCTTTTAAATCAAGTGTTACAAATAATGAAGGATTTTCTACTTACAGATTTCAACTCATTTCCGAGTTGAGATTTAACATTTATCAGCTCATTAGCTAAGTCATCGTTTTCATGCTCTAATCTCAGATTACTAAGCTGGAAGCGGCTATTTTCTCGCTAGGATTCGAGGAAAAATAATATTTTAGAATAGTATCCACATTAATACAGCATATTTTAAACCGAATTGCTCAAAACATGAAACATCAAAAAGGGAGCAAATTATCAGGAATAACAAAATGTCTAATGAAAAAAATAAAAAATACCTGCAATTTTGAAACAGGATCTTCATGATTTTTTTGTTGATCTTTTAAAGCAGAATAATCTTTGGCATACTTCTTTAATTTTTTAACCTGAAATTTCAATTTTTTTATTTATTTTTTTCTGAATAAGATGAACTCTTGCATACTACAAAAATCTAATGTAAGCTCAACAAAGAATTTGTACTCTTTAAAATATAAGAATTGGAGTCTTTTGAAGTATAAATACTTTTTATAATAATACTTTTTATTAAAATATTTTGTTACTTAACACTAAATATACCACAACTGGTCAAAAGACCTGTTATTGTATGTTATATTGTATAGGAAAGGGTTGGTATGTTTAGTGTTAAATGAATAAAAGACCACACTAATATATTGAGCGAAACAAAAAAATGAATAAATTAATAGAAAAAACTTTCACCATTAACCATTTTCAAAATATTTTTATAGACTAAAAAATTAAAATTACTAACAAATTTTAATAAATTTTGATGTCTTACTGATGACATTCATAAATCACTAGAGATAATGAATATAACATTATTTTAGAAATTGGATAAAAGAAATTCAATATTGCAGACATTCAATTTAGTTTAGTGCAATATTGGAATCAATATATCTACATTTTTCTTTATCAGGATGGGTTCTTGTGGTAAAATTATTTTCTAAAGATCATAAAATAAAATATCAAATTTTTTTCAATATTATTATTAATAAATTTCATATTATTATTATTGACTACATATTTCAGTTACTCTATAGACAGCGACCATAGTTATAATTCGTATTGTTACAAAAAAAAAAAAAAAAAAAAGAGAAAGAGAGGGAAGAACTAGGAATATTAAATACACACGTACCTTAATACTAATTGCTGCTGACAACAATTCTCTAGCACTATTTTCAGTTCTATACTTTTTGGGAAGTGTAACACGGAAATATTTCAGAATCCCTTCAAAATCTAATGCCAGCAAATCTTTTCTTGATAACTATGTGAATAATACAGTCAAAATATTTAATTGCAAAGAAAGTGTGACAAGAAGCATTAGAATTAAAGGAATAAACAAAATATATTACCGTTAAAAGCGCTAATGCTACTTGAAATAAAGTTTCAATGCCCTGTGTTGGAAAAAAAAATTTTTTTTTTGGTTAAATGAATTAAAAAACAGACTTATAAGCTGTTTTATCAATTAAAAGAATACTTCATTACTTACGTCGAGCAAAAATATGTCAAGTATGTAAAATACAACTATCAAAGGAAACTTGGAAGTGTAGAGAGTCAGAAACCACTGAGATGCAAACATGTGCATTTCAATACCTAAGTCTGTAAAGTGAGCATAAAGCTCAGGAATGTTATCCTGTAATCAATAAAAATGTATCATAAACAGATAATAGTTTTTGTGTTGAAATAAGTTATTTAAAACCATTTCCATAATAACACTAACACTATGTTTAATAGAATGAAATTAGTTAAAAGTCATTAAGGGTCCCCTTCAAACACTAAAAGGTTTTTATTTTCTCCATATTAACTTACAGAGAATTATACATCTGAAATTTCCATATTTATTTTAGTAATCAATTAATATTTTTGAATAATTTTTGTTTAATTTCATTCATTAAAATGTATTCTATTGAACTTAGTTACCAATCATAGAATTTTAAAATCGTAAATATTTAGAATTTTTTTTATTCTTTTAAAATATTTATCACTTTTAAATTTAAAATTCGGTAACTAAGTTCAATAGAGCACCGTTAAATAAAAAAGTGAAACTAACATTACATCAATCAGTAATTGAACATATAAAGAAATTCCATGAATATAATTCTCCATAGGGCTAACAAGGAAATAAAAGCCTTTCTTTTTCTTTGAAGGAGACCCTTAAACTGGAAAGGGACATATTTAATTAAGAAAATTACATATCAAGTTAGCAGTTATATCAGTTAAAGATATCTAAAAATTCTTCCCCCAAAAGCTAGTTTTCGACCAAGGAGGTCATAGAGGTTGTTGAGTCGCCACGATTCCAAGAGCAACGGCGCAATGGTGGTAACGTGCTCAGCATTGTGCACTAACTGCCTTTCCTTCCCAGACTAAATGATATCTACTGATCTGAATATGGGTGGGCTTCAACAATTTAACGTCTTTGCATTACATAAGTTACTAATCAACATTTTATCCTGAACCAAACTTAGATAACGTGAAACCTTCCTATGAACACAAAATCTTAGTTAAAAAACTTGCATGCATTGATTAATTAGTTTCAACCCTTTGTTGCCCTCTCATTTTGGTGAAATTAGTTTGAAAATCAAGGAATTTTTAAAAATGTTTTCATTTTTATAGAATTCTATATTGATTCAAAAACCATAAGGATGAATTTAGAAAAAAAATTTTTATGTACAAAATCATTTTTTAAATAATTGAAAAAATACCTGAAATTTAAGCAAGAAAAAGCGTACGTAAGAAACATTTATGCAAAGAATGTTATCAAAGTTTTAATTAAAATATCGATGCAACATTTTTTTTATTTGTTTAAATAATTGTGTGAATCTGAATCTCAATGTCTGATTTCTAAATCATGCATATTTGCATTGGTAAGAAAAAACGTAATAATGAATCTATTTTTCTCTCGCAGGAATTAGAAGGAGAAGAGGTGGATTATTCTTTAAGAGGTGGATTATTTTTTTTTCTATTTTAATAATAGTAAAACATTTTCAGCAAACATTGTTTGCACGTTTATGTATATTACATGGATCTCCCCTGAACTAAGTTTGGTTAAGATAAGTAAGGGGTTTAAGTATTTTTTTATTGCTAATTTTTTTCTATATTGCATTAATTGACTGAAAGAGACATAAAAGAGCTAGTTTATAAATAACCAAATTTGAAATAAGTCAAATTGTAATAAGCATTTGCTTACTTCAATTAATTTCTCTAACTGGTATAATCTTAGGTGCAGTTCTTCAAATCCATTCTTGAAAAAATTTCTCAAGCCATATTCAAACATTATTTTCACAAGAATGCTGAAAGCCTGCTCCTCTGGAATCTGTTATAAAAGCAAATAAAATTGTTTATATTCAGTGCTGATTCAATGATGTTTAGTTTTGCTGTGAATAATCGAAAAATAAAGCAGTAATAGATTAAGTGCAGAAGAAAAAGATAAATCAATATGGTGACTTAAAACTTTTCATATGAAAAAATCAAAATAAAATTTTTAAAATACTATTTATTAAGAAAAAGTTAAAAACTGTTTCATATATTTACATGCAACAATAGAGCAGCTGCAAGAAATGATTGGCCTTGGCAATATCCAATTTCAGGATCATATACAGAGTAAGCCTAAAAATAAAGTTAATATGAGATATTTTTCAAAGAAAGTATAAATGATGAAGAAAATAATAATAAACTAAGCTTGCTAAAAATCATTAAGAGGCTCAATGCATCAGCAATACATCATCAATGTATTAGCTACTTATTAATCTGACTCTGGTAGACTTTAATTTTAATCATATTTAGTTCACACAAATAAAAGGAAACAACAATTAACACTGTAGGCATGAAATTATAAATTTTTTTTTGAACTGGATACAAATGCCACTGCATAAATTCATGGCAATTACTTTAGAGCAGGAATTTTTTTTTGCACCTAGCAAACATATATGTACTGAAATTTAATATACATATTATAAAGGAAAATTGCTATTTCTACTGATGAAAATAATTTTTTCTAAGGATACAAATGTTACTGCATAAATACATGGCAATTATTTTAGTGTAGGGCATTTTGCTTAGTAGCCAGCTAACATATTATAAATGAATAGCAGCTTAATACACATATTATAAGTAAGTAGAAAAACATTGTTAAAACTAATGTCATTTTATGAGAAGTAGGCAAGTACGGTTAAAAAAAAAAAACCACATAAATAGATTTATATATAAAATATAATTTTTACTTTGCATATTTTATATAAAGAATCTTGTCCTATGCCACCACTGGTTTTGAAATATTCATGAGCTGGAAATGTTCGATTTATGTCTCGTTGGATGACACTACCACAAGAAGATTCCTAAAAAGTAAAACAGTTCAGCTAATTGTTATAAGGTAAATTATTACTATTTAAATTAATGAAGAAAACTATTGTTTCTTTATTATTGTTTATATAACTATTGTTTTGATAATTACTATTTAAATTAGTGGGGAAAAGTATTTCTAAAAGAAGCTTAAAGGCAACAAATTTGTAAATTTGTTCAAATAAGTAAAACTACTTTAAATTTATAATTTATATTTTATTGGTCTATTTCAACTTAAAATTAATAAAATCAGTTAATGAGTTCATATATATATATATTCCTTGAAAATCGGAATGTCTAAAAAAATGAGTCAATAAAATAATCTAATCTAGTACTTACCAGTACCTTATTTGTTTTTTTCTTAGTACCAAATGAGAAAAAATATTAAGAGGAAAGATTTTTTTTTGATTAAATTGAATTCTCATATTATGGTTAGGTTGAAATTATTGCTAATAGACAATTAGTGAAGCAATAGTGTAATATATATAAACAAAACAAATCGAAACTAAAGTAGAAAAAAAGATAATACGCTATCAACGACATAAAAATAAGTTTTTGTATTTATGCCAAATACATACAATTAATTACTTATTAATACTAGTATTAAATATAACCACACAAAAAAAAGAATTAACCAAATCTCAAGTGCTTGAAAACTATTAAAATTGTATTATTAATAATATTAAAAGATTAAGAAAGAAATAATATAAGCTTCTAGATATACTGCAACAGGCTTATCATCAATTTCTGGCAGTGACTAGTATTAATCTCTGATCAAACAATTCTCCTCAAATGAACAAACAGTATCTAAATTGTTTACACTTAAAAGTTTTATAGATCAGATTTAATTTTCTTTTGCTTACTATAGAAACTTGATGAGTCAAAAAAACAAACAAAACAAGTGTGCCTGCTCATTAATCACTTAAAGTAATTAGTATCAAGATTAAGAAAGAAAAAAAACTTAGAGAAACTTCAGAGATTTCCTTAAATTAGTTATTTTTTTTTATGTATAATCTAATTATAACTCACTTTAGATATAAGGTTTTTATATGTGTCAACTATTTGTCGGTCATCGATGCAACCAGCAAGTAATTGCCAAACTTCACCCCTTAATGCTTCGGGAATCCCTCTTTTTACAAGTGGTGTGAGCTGCTTTGGTCGTTGCTTCAAATTTTGTCTCCATCTTTGCAATACTTCAGCCCAGCCTTCAAGCTCAAAGGAAGAACACTCTTTACTCACTTCTCCTGTACCACTTGGGAGAGGTTCATCATTATCTGCATAAAGTTTAAAACTTGAGCAAGAATAGACACTTAAAATAAATATTTTGTACCTGACTCATAAAAAAGACACTTTCTGTTAGTAAAATAACCGCTTTGGTTTTTACGAAGAAAAAAAAAACTTTAAACTAAGTTATTAAGGATAATATTTTTTATCTCATCCGTCCTTTAAATAATTTCACAGTTTCTTTTCTTTTGAGATATGAACTATAAACAAAATTATTTTTTGAAAATATGTGCATTAATGATAGTGTACTAATTTTGTTACAGTAAATATTGAATGAGGGTTGAAAGTTATGAGTCACAAAGGAAAAACATGTATAAAACATAAATAAAAGTAGACCATCATACATTAAAAAAATAAAGGCAGACAAACTGTATTTTAAAATAGTCTAATTTTCTGTTGCCCATTTTACATTTGGAGGCAACATTATTTGAGAGATTTGCAAATCTGGTTCATCGTTAGGCATTTGTATCTACATGTAATTTCAATTTCTATCTAATTTAGTTTATTTAAGGTAGTTGTGTAAGAAACATAGTTATCAACATATAGTAATTTAAAACTTAAATTGCAGTAAAGGAAATTTTATATTTAAATTGTTTCGCTAAATTTTAAGGTGTTTAAATTTTAATTTTTTTTTCTTTTTGGATTTTCATATAAAAGGTCCTAAGAACAGAAACATAATTTTGTTTAACAATTCTTGACAATTTTCTTCAAATTTTCAATGGTGATTTTCCATGGCAATTTATATCTTGCATATTTTCAATTAACATTTTAGAGAAATAAATATCAATACCAACTTAATTGCATATTGGATAATTGAATACGAATTTTTTTTTATGGAACCAAATAATTTACTATGAAACTAATTTTAAATTTCCTCGTTTAAATTATTGTTTCCACTCCTCGTTTAATTGCATAAATAAGAGTTAATGAAATGAAAAAAAAAAATTATTTAGAAATGTTTCACCAGGTAGCATGGAATTTTGGTTTTTTAATTCAGAAGGTGAGAATACAATAACTGGTTAGTTCGATGAGGACTTCCTGTTCATCTGTTGTTTTAAACAGGTGCTAGGGGTATAGTTTAAGAATCAATCAACTCTTGCAGGCAGTTATACCTTGGAGTAAACAAAAGAGGTTTTACCCAACTTTGACTCACCTCATATGCAAATAATTTAGAATGTAAGAAGGCACAGAGTGATTTGTTTTGCAGTCGTGACTTATCCCCTCTTGGTGCGCTATTAGCTTTGATAAGAAAAAGTTTCAGAAAGCTGCTCACACTAGTTTACAGTGCACCTTTCTCTAAAGAAGAATAATCATTGCTCACTCCAGCGAATAACTCCATGTTGTTTGCACAATGACCACAAAAAAAGAATGATTTAGGTTTATCGAAAAAGAAAAAAAAATCTTGGAAACAAAAATTTTTTAAAAGTCTCAAACTGAAATAGCTAACTAATTAAAAATTTTTCAAGTTTGGAAAATGAAAAAAAAAATTAGAAAGCATCTCAAATAAATACACAAGTGGTGAAAGTCTTAGTAGAAAAAGAAAAATCACAATTTGATGATTTGGCATATTAAACGGGCATCAAAATAGTCTTCAATTTTTTTCGGAAAAAATAAATTTTATAGTAACTATATTATACTTTTCATTAGAATTGATTTTTTTTATATAACTTAAAACGACATTTATGTTTTATGATACCAATACCAATAGCTTTAATTATAATTGTTTATTGATCATATAATTTAGTTTATTTAACCAAACATTATACCATGCATTAGATACCATTAAAAAGTAAAGTTTTATAAAAATCGAGCATTTAAAATTAAATAATGCACTCTCTTTCTAATCGAATATCCACTTAACTGAATACACATGAAAAACTTTTTCGTGAATTATTTATTATTGAACGCATGAGAAATATTTTTAAAAGATGCATGCAATGATATCAAACTTGACTCCCCAAATATGGCTAAGTGGGAGCAACCTCAAAACCTCGAATAGAAACCTGTATATTTAATTGCTGACTCTTGCAGTTTAAAGTTTGTGCTGTAATTACAAAACAAAGATTGCATAAACATTGTTTAAAGTAAGGATACCTTAAGAAATATAAGACAAATCAAAAAATAAAAATGACTTATTTGATGTTTTGAAAACCTTATCTAATGTTGCCAAATTTGACCCCTGGTCTCAAACTGGACCCCACACTACTCTATGAGTGACCAGGGGGAAGGAAATATATTTTAGTTTAGTGTTATCAGTTTTGTCATATTTGATGTTATTAGATAAGTATAATAATATATTCATAAATTTTTTAATCTAACACGTTTTTCTCAAAATCTCTATTTTAAAATAGAGATGTTTATGCCATTTTCATAGTACAATTACTGCATTAACTATGACCCAACCCAGCAACAACTGGCAAGTCAAATAAAAGTAATTTTCCTGGAAAATCCAAATCCGCAATAAATAATCAGAGTTCCTAAACTAAGAAATTGAATTTAACACTGCCCCACTTCGGGAGTGGGAATGAGGGGTGGAGTGTAGCATCATTGAATGCCCTCATATTTTTTTGATTTTTAATCTGATGTATAATTCTTCAAATATATGACTCATTTCAAACGTTTTCGACATTCTGTAAATACATAAATATATAGATACATGTATACATAATCTCTTATTAAAAATACCAGATTCACTGTCTTGATCATGTGAAGTTAAGGAATGTACACTCTCTTGATATGACAGGCTAGAAGGAAATTTCTTCCTGACTGAGTTTTCTAAACTAACAACTTCATACATGGTATTTCGATCACCACAATCATTTTCAATCTGTAAAAATAGCATAACAAATAGTTCACGCAATGCACATTTTGAGGGGGCGGCAAGCACAATATCTACCAGAAACTGGTTAAAAAAAAAAGATACTAACCTCTTTTAATCTGAGATAAAACTGATCATGAAGAGCACGCTTGGAGAAATACCAAAACCTTTCATTAGATCCAAATATTTTCGCTTTGGTTTCAATAACAAAACGAGTTGGTTCATCTATACCGGTAAACACCAAATCAACAGCAACACTCATGTATACTTGATTATCTGAAGAAAAATTTACTTGATTACATAAATCTTTTACAATTGAACAAACTCAATGTTAATGATATTGAACATTTAAATTACTTCTATGGTTAGTGAATGGTCAAATTTATTAATGTATCAACAATTAAGATTTTTGGAAATGTAAAAAACAGGAATTCATTACAAATGAAGGAGACATTTTTATTGATAGATGAAAAACTTATATGCTTAATTTTAATGGTACTTTAAAAACTCCTTAATAGTTTAGATTAATATCCATTCATATGAAAAAACTTAATAAGAGAGAACATGATAATTAATGAAAGAGCATGAATAATTCGAAAGAACTTAATACAAAATAAACAGATAATGATGAAGAAGTAGATACAGTGGATAATAATGTTACAAGTATGTATTGATTAGAAAGAATTGAAAAAATTAAAAGAGCTTTTGGTGATATATCAGAAAGGAAATTGATAAATAATTTTAGTAAGACGTAAAATTAAATAAAGAAGCATATTTTTTTTCTTAATCTTTTTTTAAAAATACTTAAGTGTTTTTTTTAAGTAAATACACATTACATATTTGACAGTATATTCAGTTTCTAATACAAATGTATTCGAATATACAGTCATATCTATCCCATTAAATAAACACAATATGCATTTCTTACGAATCCTGTGAATAACACAAGTAATACAACTTACGCACATTTGAAATCAAGATCAATAAAAAGAACTAATGATATCCGTACTAGTATGTTGCATGTATTGTATGTTTGTCTACTCAGTTTTACATGTTTTTTTTTAATTCCCTTGCGTTAATTTAACAAAAATAGTCACCATCACGAGCCATTAATCCCAAGAAACGAAAATGTTTCTTGCATGTTTGTTCGTTTTCTTGTAAATAATAATAATAAAAAGCTTTACATGCTGGTTTTAATATATATAATAAAAAATAGTCAAAAAGAAAGAAATGTAAACTTGGAGTTTTTATCCATACAGGGAAATGAAAAATTTGCCGATTAACTATAACAAACAACTTTTTATTTCCAATGAGAAAATTATTAAATATTTTTATTAGTTGATTTCTATAATTAATACTGTTAACTCTTACCTCTAGTAGTAGGTGTATTTAAAATTTCAAAAAGTGGATCAATAGGATTCCAGTTAGCAGAAATATGATATACAGTTCGATCCCCATTAGCAATCTTATTCATCAGTACCTGACAAATAATATATTTAGTAAATTACTAGATTAATATACAAATGTAAATAATATATTTAGTACATAACAAGATTAATATTGATAAAAAAGTAGAAAAAAAGATGGTAATTTGCAACTATAATTACCCCTTCCAAAGCATGCATTTCAGAATGATCTAAATTCCTTCCTGGTGTAATAAGAAGTCCGAAGCAACTAAAATTACATTTATAATTGCATATATTAGTAACAAATACAAAATTATGATCATTAGAATTGCACATAAAAATTAGAAATATTTCAATTTTACAACACATTAAAATAATTTGAAATACAAATTTTAAACATATCATTTGAAATGATATTGAATATTTTTGTCATAAGAATTTCAAAAAGCTTGAAATGAAATATTTTTCAAGCATCATTCAAGAAATGTACAAATTACTTAGAATTTGTAAATATAGCCAAACGTTCTAGAAATTTTGTCTATCCATAAATGTAACAGTTTTAAAAACAATTATATGTAATCTTACTTCTGAATTTTAAGATCCCTGTTGCTAGATATTTGACTAATTGTAACTGAAATATTTTCCAAGCATCATTCAAGAAATGTACAAATTACTTAGAATTTGTAAATATAGCCAAACGTTCTAGAAATTTTGTCTATCCATAAATGTAACAGTTTTAAAAACAATTATATGTAATCTTACTTCTGAATTTTAAGATCCTTGTTGCTAGATATTTGACTAATTGTAACAGTGATCATTTTTTCCAAGTTACACCTCAGCTTGAAAAAGTCTTTATCTCGAGGGCAGGAGACAAAGTTCCCCTATAATGAAAATAATAAAGAAAACTAATAAATAAACAAAATCAAAAAATAATGTGCAAATCAATGTACATAATAGTAAGAAAAATTAATTCATTAACAACTTTATATAAAAACATAGAGATTATAGTTTTCTATTCAATCTTATTTTTCTACAGTTTGTTTTATTTTAAGAAAATCAAATGTTTAAAAAAACACACGCATTTAAGAACACTTTACAGTTTGACTAAAGTATATGAACCTCAAAATAAAGTTAAAATGTGTGATTTCATAATAGATTAAGAGTTTAAATAGATTATAAGAAAATAAATTTTCAATCATTATATTGAAAAATGAAACACCTTAATCTTCTCAAACTGCATAAAATAAAGTCTATAGTTAAAACAATTGTCCCATTTTCACAATTCATGATGAAACATTGCCAACAAATTAAGGAAAAATTAAATGCTATTTAAACATTTTTAACAAAAAACTTTATAATTCAATTGTTCCATTCTATAAACATTCAACTTTAAAAGAACTATTTCCATTTTCTATCAAGGAATAAAATGTTAACAATGCCTTTGCATACGCGGAAAAAAAAACATAACATTTTAAGATCTTAGTTACACATACTATATACAAAGAGTGCAAACCTACATACATATAAATACAAGCACATGCAAAATAATGTTGGGCAAATTAGACATGCTTTAAAATTTAAATTTATTAAATATCATAGATATGTCCGTCATCAAGAATTCAAAAACTGATATCTTGCTACACATCATTAGTACCTAGCAATTATAATAACGGCAAAATTCATTGGCTCAATATCACATCAGCTCATCTTGGTGTTTTGAAATTTTATTACATTCAGATTTTCTAGTTAATGATAAGTTAATCACTTACATAGTGCTTGGAAATGCATCCTGCCATGATTTGTGTCTCTCAACAATAATGGTTTTTATAGCTTCGTTTTTCACATTTACCATATTTTCATTGGCAGATTTGCATTCTTTTACATTATTAGGAATAGCGTGCACTTACTAATGTATATCCATATTTGGCAGAATCAAAATAATTTCAGTTTTGAATTTAACATCAGTTCCATCTTGAATAGCTTTTATTATGTTCATTTAAAAAAATTGATAACTTTATATTAGTTAAATTTATTAATGCAGGCATTTTGAAATTAATTCTAAGTCAGATTTATATGATAGTAAGAATAAAAATTATTTCAATTATTTGCCAATAAATCTCTCAGCAAAGATGAAATAATGCTAGTCAGGCTTTGTTTATTTAACCAAAAAATGTTGATAACATGTATATATAACTTAACACAACAAAATATTAAAAGACTTTAAGTGAAAAATAACAGACACATTGTATAATTTTTTTTTTGTCAAAATACTTAGGTAAAAATGAAATTTGTAAGGAAGTATAAATTTTCTAAGAGAAACAATACAAGCAAACATATAATTTTAAAATAAAAATGAAATTACATTTTATGATAAAAATATAAGATTAATTTCTGCCTCAATTTTTCAAAAGAACATACAGAATTTGTAAAAAAAGCTAAAGATTTTACAGGAAAAGATTTACCTTTGAATCTTCTTCTTTTACATCTAAAATTGTTTCAAATATGAAAACTTGTTGATTGTTTTTAACTGACAAGCCAATTGGTATATTTCTTTCTGATGATATGGAACTAGCTCTACCTTGAGAAAATTTTGGTACACGATGAAAAGCAGCAGCAAAACATTGCAAGAGTTTTACAACCTAAAAAAATTAATTGCAGTACAGTTTTAAACTTTTCACAAAAGCTGCATAAGTAATTAAAACAAAATATAAATGATGAATAAAAACAATAAAGTATGTTAAAACAGTCTCCTATTTAGTAAAATTTCAAAAAATTTACAAAACACCACTGTGCATAATTTATAACAATAAATTTCACATATTATTTAAAAGACATAAAGTGAAATCAGAAAAAAATATGGTTCAAAAACTGAATAACCATTATTGTACTCGATTGCTGAAAACTTACTGTATCAGGGCTATCACATTTGAAAATATGACAATGAAATATTGATGTTTCTGCAGTTTCTCCGTGACTGCAGGCAAATGCAAAACATTCCTTTTCAGGTGTTTCTGGTCTACCACGAGCACAAAATAAGATGCAATGTATAAGAAAACTGGCAATTTCAGTATTACCATCAGAATCTAATAAACTGAAAAAGAAAAAGGGGCACAACTTAGCAAGTATGTGCAAAATAATTATGATTTTAAAACTTTAAGTGCCTAACTTTTTCAAATAAAAACACTTAAACAATATAGTTTGGAAAATGGGTTTTTAATGGTATTGTATTTTTAAGTTTAAAATAGAAAATAAGTTTTCTGAAACTAAAATATTTTTAAAAAAAAAAAACTTTTACATTACAAATAATAAATAAAATATGGTAAAATCGTTTTAAAATATTTTTATTTAAGTTAAAGGTGTGATAGTAAGAATGCATGCTCATATTAAATATTAATAATATTCAGATTAAGAATAAGTTTAAGTAAAAAATTTTTTTAATATGTTTGGTTATATTATATACAAAAATTTGATTTATATATTATTTGTCGATTTATATACACAATTATATATTATGTAATTAAAATATAATTTCAGAAACAATTAAGCTGCTTGAAAACCACTTATAAACTATCGTCATTCATAAAATACAAAATTTGTTTTTTTAAAAATGGGTCTCTCGTTAATCAGAAATATAGATATTTTAAGACAAGTTCTTATATGATCAATGGATATTGTAATATATTTTATTTTATTACCACACAAATAAATAGTTGATATAATTTGTTATTTTATTTTTACAACAATAATATTTTAATACTATAAATGAATACTTTTTATTTAACATTTCATTACCAACAAATTACAAATTGAGTACGTCCATGAGTTTTTGTATTAATTTCAGCTACAATTTGATTTATAATTTTTTAAAACAAAGTAAAGCACAGGTGCACTTTAAAAAAAAAGAGTATATTTTAACGAAAAAAATGATAGGGTAATATCTAAATTTTCATGTATATAAAATTAAAACACGAAATTTATTTGTATTTAAATTAGCCACATTTTTGGAATTACTTTATAACAAACATGTTGAAACTTTTAATTTTTTGCCCATATAAGGAGAAACAACAAACAATTTCAAATATAAATTCCCATAAATTTTGCATATTTTACCGGAAATTCCCAACTTTATTTGTAGTAAACACACATTTTAATAAATATTGACCTACCTTTTTAAAATAATTATTTATAGGTACAAAATTATTATTTTAACCCCTTAATGCACGAGTTTTTTTTGTTGGAAAAACTGCTAAAAAATGATCAAGTTTTTTTTCCACAGAAAATAAATATATAGGTATAGTGTAAGTTATTTTTTGCAATTTCAGTTGTGGGGGTGACTAGAGAGCAGGGATTAGAGTAAAAGTTATAAAAAAATTACTGTACAAACAAAGTTTAAACAATTTGATTACAGGTTTATTTTGAATTTCGAAAAATTAAAATCAAGTTAAACCAATGTATCAAATAATAATCAATAAATTAAATTTACATATCAAATAGCTAATCATCAAAATGTACCAAGTGGTGTACACAAGAAAAATGCACTATAGTGGTGTCATCCATAATAAATAAATTTAATATAATCTAGCCTATCCATTTTTTCTATAACAAATCTCAGATCAGCATTAGAAATAAAATAACGTGATATACAAGATTGCCCATGTGAGGGGTCAAACAAATCTAATAAAAATTAAGATTTCTTTTAAATAACAATTTAAATAATTGAAAATTATAAAAAATATCAGAGCTCCTCAACTTACGTGACTGAACCTTCAGAATGGCTAGGAACTGAGAGTGTAATCTCAATGGCTTGATCCAAAGCTTGCTCATTTAAAATAGCCATGTTTCTTTGAATTTCTTTTTCACTTCGAGGAGCATTTATCACTGCACACCCCAAATAAGTTATATGAGGGAAAAGGGAGCAGTCAGTATCAGCAAAATGAAGAGATGACGATTGAGAAAGACTAACTGAAATGGGGAAAAAATTAATTAAGAAGTTTTTCTGGATAAAATCTGTTCTGAAAATTAAAATGATTCATGTTTAATACGTAAGTAATCATACGAGACTGCATATAGTTTTGTTTTATTTCTACCAAATTATATAATTATGCTTTCAAAACAATATATTAAGTCTTTTAAAAAATAAACTCTAACTAATAGAAATTTAATTCATGTTATTTTTTATAAACAAAAAGGCCTTGCTACATTGTTTCAAAAGTTGACGAGGTTGATATTTGTTTGTGTTAGGAGCTTGGCATCTATTTAACATGCACTTAGATGCAAACAGGCTCTCTCCATAGGGATAATGATTTTTTTCTTAACTTGAAACAGAGTATAGCAAAGAAATAATTTTGTTAACAATACGTGTAAATAGTATTGCCAGCATGATTATCAAAGAATTTCTCACGAATACATCTTGTAAGAAAAAATAGAGCACAGTAAATAATCTCAAACGAAAAATTAAGTAAAATGAGAGTATCATTTTATAATAATCAATTACACAATGCTTAAACTTGCATTAACCCACTGTCAGTTTAGCAAAAAGAAAAGAGTGGGAGAATGTTTCTCTCCCGATACATTATTTCCCTATTTAATAACATAGAAAAACCAGTTTTGCTATGCAGAAGACTGCAGATTAAAATACGACTTTTTAAATGCAGAGTCGTCAGTGGGTAAAGTTATGAAATCAGAATATACAGTATGAGTCTGAACAAGATGGCAAAACTTTACTGGGTAAAGGAATGCAATATTAATCATCAAATATGTATTCAAAACACAAGCAATAAGAAGTAAAAATTTTGTTTTACAATGTCACATTTAAAGAATTAATACAAGAATGGGAAAAGATGCTACAGAAATTTTTTTATAAACGGGAATATGATTGATGTAGAATGAAATCGCTCAAAAGAAAAAGACGTGAATGATACAAAATACTTTTTTTTCTTCAAAATCTAAAGTTTTTCTTAAAAACAATTAAAGACTCTCAAAATAAAATAAAAGTATAATACTCAATACTACAAATATTTTAAATAAATGCATTTCAATAAAAATTGAATTCCATGACGTTTGTCAGAGTTTGTATACATTTATCATTGTTCATACCAAGTTTTAAATTGAAGAAACATGAGCTTGTAGCATAAAAATAAACCTCTTGTTTTAATTAAATTAAAAGTAGTTGAGATATTAAACACCATTTTTGCTTCACAACCATTATGCTGTCATTATATACTACCTAAATAAAAATCAAAAATTTAATTTATCGAGTAAGGAAAAGTAATTTTAAACATTGTTGAAAAATAATCTTAGTTCAAAACTGACACAACCTCACTAGCAATGAGTCGAGTTTTTTCTCAGCTAATATCTATGAAAGGAAAATTAATCCATAACACTGCCTGTGTAAAAAGACTAGAAACAGTGTCTGCTTTATTCAAGGGATTTATTTCTATTAGAAAAAATTGGTAATAGATTCATATTGCTGTTAGTCTATTACATAAATCACTTACTTTCTTCTAAAGAGCTCAAAGAAGGAGTTATGCCAATATTTCCATTTGTTGCAGCAGATTCAGGAGTAATAGGAGTATCAGGTGCACCTTGATTTGAAGCATTAGAATCAGGAACTTGAGGACTGAGTAAAGCTAGTGGATGATCCATAACTGGTTCCCCTTTAAACTGTTTATCACTTCGATTCAGCTTATTATTAGGTTTTAGATCCTTGCTCTGAGTTACACTGGTAACATTTAACTGAAAGTCAAAGAAAAAAAAAATATGCTCTAGATAAATAAAGGCAAGAAATAAAATCATTCAATGGCATTTTATAAGAAATTAAATATAATACTTGAGAGGATAAATAATACATTATTGGGAATGATTTAAATCAGTAAATAATCAGGAAGGCCCTGGGTTGGCCTGCCACTGAAGAGCGCATGTCAAAACACGCGCCAATCTAGTTTTTCTTTCTCTCAACACATATATTTTTGATGTTTTTCATAATATAAATTTAAAGGATTTCAAATTTCTTTCAGATTAAATTCTGCACAATTAGTACTATTCCTATCAATAAAATCTATAATTGTTTGTTGCCGTCTCTTTTAACTAGATTATAAAAACAATTATTATGAAATTAAGGATATTAATTAACACTATTTTATAGTAGCTGAACAATACACATCATAGTATAAGCAATGCCTAAAAGTTAGCAAGTATGTTCAAAAATATATATGTATTTTTTACATGTCTTTAAAATTGTATGTATGTATCTAAATTGTATTAAATATGATGTTAAGGAATCTAAAAGAGTTTGATACATTTCTTTTTAAAACAATTAAAAATTTAATTTTTTTGGGGTCCTAAAATCTAAAGTAAGTCTTAAAAATTTATAAATTTTTCTTCAGAATAAGTGCCAATTTAAGAATAAAAACTAGAAATTATTAATGTCACGGAAGCAACAAATTGTAATGCATAGATATCAAAATATTTTTTTCTTAATCAATAATATGTTTATGTTTTTGAACAATGATGTTTTAATCTTTAAGTAATTTCAAATATACGACGAAATAGAACTATATACGTACATTGTCAAATATTGATTTTTAGAAGAAAAATTCCAAACATTCTTAACTAAATCATGATAAAAATAATAAATTCAGACTTAGTTTTTAGTTCAAAACATAGCTAATATTACTATACAAAATCTACAAACGAAGTTTTAACGAATTCTATATAAAATTTTTTTGTAGTGTATGTTAGCATAAAGAGATTTTCTCAAAATCAAAATTTTTTTTAAAAAAGACATTCAAAGTATGTAATTGCCAAGAAATACTGAAACAATTTATTTCATATGAATAAAATAATTAGAAATTATAACATTCATTCTCAGTCTAAAACTAATGAACAAAAGCTAAATTGTAAATAAGAAATAAAATTCAAAATTACCTATTTTCACCTTGTTGGATACCTTAAATAAACAGGTAGCTATAATCTCCTTTGAGCTATATTATTTCTAAACATTTATTTGTTTTAAGATTATTTTAACAACTATAAATTTTTAAGAAAAAAGTTTCTCACACTGTTGCATTCCAATTAATCCTTACACTATCTAGTAATTTTTACTTATGTATTTTAAAATTTTTTCTTATGAGGGCAAAACATAATTGAAATTTTTGCTCTGCTCTGAATTGATTTAGGTAAGTTAAAATTATATGGACATAAAACCCATTTAATAATATCAACATGCACATTTTTAGTTATTCAACTCAGTAGTTTTATTGAAAGAGTAGATTTAAAACTTATAAAATTGTTCCTACATACAAAGTTGAAGTTGTCATCCCATCACTAAATAGTGGTGCAAATTGCATATACTATTAGTACAATGTGAAAAAAGTAAATAATTTATCATATGGACAATAAATTTCTTATTAGCAAAAAGAAACATAAAAAAAATATATTACCAAAGAAACCGAATTTCCTTCATTTTTATTTAAATCTTCAAAGTGTGGTTTATCTTGTTTATTTTCTTTAGTAATCCCAACATCACCTCCACCAACAATTTCAAATTCTTCACTTGTAGACAGAGATGAAGAACTTTGTTCTGCATCTTCAGCCATTTTGTATCACTCAATTATAAAAGATATGGTCTGTTGATTTTTTTTGCAACAACTACAAAGCAGTAAAAATAAATACAATAAGTAATTATCGTCTTATTTGCAATATAAAAATTTAGTAATAATTTTAAATTTAGCGAAAAGGGTTCCATTGAAATATTTAACATTAAAATAGCACTGTTCGACTTAAAACAATACCTACAGTTTAAATCGTATTTAAAGGTTTTAAAAATTTTTTTTTTCAAGTAGACTTTCAATTACTTTTCAAAGCTAAGACTTAAGAAACAAAAACAAAATAAAAAAAAACACATAAACATACAATTGAAATGATGTGAGTGATCTTAGCACTAAGCATAAAATATGTAAATTATAATTTCTAGGACTTTAAAAAGGCCCTTTAACATTGTGTAATATAAAAACATTGCCAAAATTGAAGACTAGGTTGTTAATTTTGACACCAAATTTGAGGTCACCCCTCAGAACCATTAACATTGAGTCCTAGAATGTATTGATCTGATTATTAGATCGAAAGTTATTTAGGGAGGTTCATTTTTTATTTTGCGTATTGTGCACTGCACATAAAAATTGTAGGTACTGTTGATATAAATTAAAACATTACTAAAATGATTTCATACTAAAACACTAAATAAAACTTTACAATGAAATAATAGTACTTAGCAAATTATAATATCATTATTAGGGGTTACTTAACAAATTATAATAAGTTAACAATAAAGATGATGCAGTAATTTAACAAAACAAAAAGGCAAATCTGAATTAATTCAGAAACAATTTTCCTAAGAGGAAGGTAAAATTCAGAATTACTTTTATGAAATTTTTTATTACTTTTGTAAATTATTTTAAAAAAATTGCTTTAAATTGGAATAACAAACCTTGTTTCAACAAGGAATACACCAACAAGATAGGTACTTTAATGTAAAATTCAACATCACAATAAATATTTACTAGCAAAAAATTAAAATAATATCACCTTTAGTTAATTCTTAACTTTTTTTGATAAAATTATTACAGGCAAAAATAAGCAATTTTAAGAACAGAATTATACAATTATTTTCTAGGCAAAATTAAAATTCTAAAGAAAAAACTCCTATGACAAAAAACTCAGTAACATATACAAGTAGCAAAGAATCTAAACTTATAAACAGGTATAACTGTCGTAATCCATATGTTTAGCTGAGCGAGATAATCGCATTGAGAAATCATAACCCAATATAGTATAATTACAACTCAAAAACATTGCTTAATAAGTTAACACTTAAGTGCGCAGATTTTTCATGAAAGATAAAATAAGAATTTTATTTACAATCAAGTATAGATTATTTTGCTTACACGAAAGTGTTTTGCTTTATATCACAAAAATGAATAAAATTATAATTTCTTTAAAAATCGAATCCATAACCAATACAGACAGAAACCAAACAAATACTCGTTGCCAACTCCACAAACGTTAATTGAAATATAGTTTAAGGTTGCCTATTCACTAAGGCTGCATCTCTACTATCATAATCAACGAAGTTGAAGTGGATCTGTGTTGATAAAAAAGTTTCTGCCGAGTGACTAATTTCAAATCAAATTTGTGAAATGGTTGCAATAAAAATGTTTCTAACTAAGGAAAAATTTATGATAGAACATTGCACGTCACCTATGAATTTATAATTGCACGTTCCTTATGAGTTTATTTATTTATATTAATCGTGTGCGGTATGCAGTGAGATTGACTGGTAAGGGTCACTCACTAAATTCGCATATGCATTTTGTTTTGCATGCAGTGTGAATTCTCCTTTAAGAATCAGTTTCACTGGACGCGATTTTTTTCAGTGTCAAGGTAGGTAGGTGCTTTATCTACATTTCACTAGAAGTAAAAAATACAGAAAAGAGAAGAAGTCCAGATATAGTAGAGCATCAAATGTACCAAGATCCACTGCATGCCCACGAGATGCAAAGTAGCACCCAGGAGGTACGTCCCCTGAGAATCTATAGTTGGAAGAATGGTAAAGTACGCTGACTCCCCTTAACCGCTATTTTATTATTTCTTTCTAGCTCAAAATAGTACAGTAACTGTACAAATATTCAGAACAAAGCAACAATAAAAATAGATCTTTTCACCTTCCCTTCAATTCTTCCCCAACCCAAGTAGTGGTTGCTGGCGTGCCTTAAATTTTGCTTTATTTGCTTTTTTCCTTTATATATAGGGACAGCACCAAGACTTGCGGGATTGATTTAGATTATGTCAATTGAGGATAAACTTCATCCTCTATGCATATTTTTTGCTGGAGCTACATAATGTGCTATTGGAGACGGTCTGGAAAATATCCCTGAGAATGATCCGAAGAGGTGACATCCCAATTTTGATCCTGGGGAGGGGATGGATTCCTTACTTTGGTATCTCAATGATCTGAGGGTGAAATAGAACAATTTGCGATGAAATAGTTTAACAAGAACTAACACCGCGGACTCTTGGTCTCTACTCAGGTTGATCAAAGTGGTCACCCACTCGCTTACTGACCGCAGTCAGTGAAGCTTGACATCCGTTTTTTACTAGCAACCATGTCTTTACGATCAGTTCATTGCCATAGTTTTTTTCCTCATTAAATTTCATTTACTGGTGTTTTCCAAGTATTAGTATTTAGTTCTGGCTTATTTTCTAAAATAGGTAATGCTGTCTTTGGATCCTCCTCGGGTAATGTTTCCCAGACCATCACCCATAGCCCATTGTGCAACATAAGTGCGACGTAAATAAAGTGTCATACCGTTATATAGATACAGAAAAAGGAAGCAAGAATACATTTACTTTTTTCTAAGTCCATAATACAATTCACATATATTCGTGAAGAAATAAAAAAAAAACTTTCCTTTTATGTAGAAGTACACAAATCATTATTTGAATATTAATTAAACATCCTCAATGATTCAATTAAAAACCATTTTATGTTGTTAACGATTTTCGAAATAGCAAAAATAGATAAAAGTTTTAATTATTTAATGATTAAATTTCAGATACTGTCGCTGTAAAAATTGTTGTTATAATTTGTTTTAATAGATATAGTGTGTTAAAGTATAATTTTTAGATAATAAAATTTTTTTGGAAATAATTTATGTATAAGATTATTAATATATCTATAAACTTGCTTATACTTAGTATATGCTGATTTTTAAGACAATCTGCTTTCTAAGAATTTTAATTGATAAAATTATGAATTATTTTTCAATTTCTTTCCAATTTTTTAGGATAAGAATAATTAATTATTAAAAAATGAGAATGAACAAAATGCGGGTTTCAGTCTTATGTTGACATTTTATGGTTGAAATTGTACAAATTGCATACAGTAAATTTTAAGATGTTACTCCTTATTTGAGCACAAATTTTATTTTATTGTAACCCACCCAGCAGCTAATCTTAAGAATTTTTCAAAACCAATTTTTGATTTAGTCAATTTGGATCAAAAGAAAAAAGATATGTATTTTTCCATGCTCTTTGTATAAAATTATGGTAATTATATTGATTGATAACAAATGAACATCAAGGGGGAAGAATGTTTTATGTTCATTTTTCACAAAAATGACTATTTTCAGAGGCGTACATATCACCCCCGCAACCCCAGCGGTGCGAGAGGGGGGGGGGGCGCACTATCCAGAAAAAATATGATCTATGATATGAGTGCACAACCTGCGGTCCTCCAGCTTTTGCTGTGAGGCCCTCTGCAACACATGAACATAATAATAATAATAATAATATTTTTGAGAAATAAGAAAATCTGGCGAATTTTGCTTTAAATTTTTTGATGTGCAAAATCTAAATAAACGCACTTTTCTTATCTCCTCAATCGATTGTTATCGCTACGAATTTCAAAATTTTAAGTATCCCAATACTTTTAATTCGAAAAAATTATAATGCGTGAATTGACTTTTCGATCGTGTTTTCGGAGGTTCTTGTTGGATTTCCATGTGTTTTTTAAACCTTGATCTTTTTAATGTGATATTATAACAACACGTGACTTTCGAATAGTGTAAATAATCACTTTAGACAATCTTTATTTATGCCAATTTTATCATGAATTCAAGTTATTTTTCAATCGTTTTTTTCCAAATTCATTGCTACTTATTTCTTTTCTTAAATTTACTTTAATTAAAAATAACTCTTTTCTAAATTTTGAATACAATTATTGTAAGAAAGTGAGTTATTATTATTTATTTTTTGTATTATTGAGATAAATTTCGTTTCAATGTGGTAAGTGTGTAATATTGTTCTACTTGAGTACTTTTTCTAAATTTCCCCTTTCCATTGCAATTATTAATTCCTTATAAATTAATTTTAAAATAATCTAAATTAATATACATAAATTAATGTACATAAATTAATATAAATTAAAATAAAATGAGTGGTTATAAACACCCGGATGTCTCTTCTTAGTGTTTCTGCTTTATATTATAATTTAAAAAAAAAATATGTTAAGTCTAAGGTATGACGCATTTATAAATCTTGCAGGGGGTGCACCTTAGGCTATGTACTCCACTGATGATTGGATCGCTATCTGTTGAATTTTGAAGATTACTACAAATCAATAACGGGAAAAACGGTTTTATAATATTCTTTAAAACAAATAAGATCTTTTTTCCATTAACTTTGCTTTTTAGAACATAATTTTTTAAAATTTCAATTAATACATTACTAACATTAATTAAACATTATTGGCGTCAATAATTGTATGACGCATTTTTGCGATTTCCTTAAATGAGTAAAAACCTTTACATCATAAATTTTGTCTTTTAGTACATAGATTTTTTAAAACTCTAATATGAATCTTTTACTTAAATTTATTAAGTTTCGTTGGCGTCAAAAATAGTATGGCGATTTTTTTATGTTTCTCCTAAACGAATAAGTACCACTTTCCCATTAATTTTGAGATTCAATACATACCTATTTTTTTTTCATAACAGTTTCAAAAAAATTACTTTATACAAAATAAACGTGAGGTTTCAGATAACTTTAGGAATACTAATTTGGTGGCGTAGTCTTCCTATGCTATTACGTTAATGTTGTTCATTGAGTTTATCTGACATGGCAAGAAAATATAATACATTAACATTCAAGTTCGCGCAATATACTATTTTCATAATTTAATTTAAAAATAATGGGTAATGCTTAGCCAATCAGAAAATTTCATTTCTTTTTTCACTTATCCTTTTCAAACGGTTCGTAGTGGAATGTTCGAATGTCGGCTGTGACTTCGCCCTTTGAACAATCAGTATGAAAAATTTCATTGCCCTCAGTCAAATAGTTTAGGAATCTATAAGGGACAGACAAACAGACAGAGATTCATTTTTAAAAGGATAGATAATAAACATCCATTGTTTTAAGTTTAAAAAAAAATCCTTAAAAATGATATTAAGAGCTGAGGAGATTTTTTTAAAAATCACAAATTAAATCACAGATTTTATCAAGTGTGGAATATTTCAGTATTGCGATTTATGCCAAAATAATCGCCAAATCTTGGCGACTTAGAGACCAACCTTAGAGAAACTAAAAAACATGACAGAAGGGGGCCAACTCGAAGGGTCAAACTCGTAGCCCCCTCCCGAACAAACTTCTACATGTTTTTTTTCTTTTTTTAAATTTAGAAAATTTAAACGACAGAAACGTTAAAGTTAAAACGTTCAAACGACAGAAGTGTCGTTTTAACTTTGAACCAGCGAAATGTTAAAAAGGCATTCTTGCTTTGGCGTAGCTAACTGAAACTAACATGCGTTTTCATTTCATAAATAGAAAACTTTGAGTCCCGCAGTGGACTGATCATTAAGACATGATTCCCATCAGATCACCGAAGTCAAGCTTCACTGGCTACGGTCAGTGTGCGGGTGGGTGACCACTTGAACCAGTCTGCGTACGGACCGAGGGTGTGCGGCATTGGTCCTCGTTAAACTGTTCTACCGTAAAGTGCTCGACTTCGCGTGCAGGTCGTTGGACTCCCGAAACAGGGATGCCATCCCCTTTGCAGAGCATCAAAATTGTGATGGCATGTCTTCGTATCATCCTCAAGGATGTTTCCCAGACCGTCGCCAAAATAGCGCATTGTGCAGTTCTAGTGCGACGTAAATGCACTACAACAGAAATTTTTGAAGATACTTAGCGCTAGTCCGATATCCCAGTTATCTTAGGTTAGGGTGTTGAATTTCAGTTTTAAAGGTACTAGCCAAATTAAAATTTTACTCGTCTCTATTTACATGAAAAAGGTAAACATTTTTTAAACTTTAAGAGTTACAATTTAAAGAAATATTTATGATCCAAACCATAAAAGAATGTAGAAATTAAGAATAATAGAATAGTACAAAACAAAATGTTATCGTTTGGAGCAAATTTCAAAAACTCATTGAACACACTTCACTGCCAAACTTCTCTAGCATCCGAGTCCTTGTTAGTGAAGGGAATTCTGTATACTTTGATAAAATAACCTTCACTTGATTACTAAAGAGATTT